GCTTTCCGGCGGCGACCTTAAATAAACGCATAAAAAAGCTGGAGAATAACCGAAACATCCCTGTAAAAAGAAATTGCATGGGGCAAAAACCTTATTTCAGGCGATCCATTTCTCCTGGGTATTACAAAAGACAAAATAAGTTAATTAGGTTATAGCTCGTTTGGTCCCTCAAACAATTTCCAGAAAAGTAAGTGTAACATTAATATTTTGCTTTACATTTCATTCATAATTCTCACTTTTTCGTTTGAAAATAGTTTATTTATTGTGCCGTTTAAATCACCTTGACATACAACGTCTTAAAATGCAGATGTTAACTTTCTATAGAACGATATCATTCTTTGAAATTATTTAAAATATAACGCAGGTTACAAAAAGTCAGGAATATTAAAGTTCAACGTAGTGACTGGCATTCCTTTCTGCTTTTTAAAACCTAAGACTTGATTGAAGATATTATTTGTTACAAACTTAATACTTTATCATTCAAAAAGCTTGTGTAAATAATTGACAACGCGTGATATTTGTTGGAAGCAAATTTGTGGTTCATTTATAATTATTGTAGAAATTGGCATCATATCAGAAAACAACTAAATTCAAATAAGTTTATAAAACTTTTATTAAACTTTTCGCTTATTGAATGCGGCCCTTTCTTGTTGACTTTGTTTGTTTTATATTTCATAAATTTGTAATCAAATATCAACTATACATTATTAATTTCTTTTTAGCTCAACTATACGAAGTATATGGAGAGCTGTCCTACTCGCCCCGGCGTCGGCGCTGGCGTCCACGTCCAGATTTCATATTAAAGTTTTGGTCAGTAAAATATTTTTCACTATAACTTTTTTCATTTCTTTAAGGGATCAACTTCAAACTTCCTATATAAATATATGTTCCTTATCATCTACCATATCTTATGTGACAAGGCTCATAACTCTAGCACCAATATTTTCAGATTTATCTCCCCTTGAACTTTAAAAAATATTATGTTTTTACTGTTACTTATTTATTTTTTAAGGATCAACTTCATACTTCAAATATATGTTCCTTATCATTAATGACATGTTATGTGACAAGGTTCATAAATCTAGGAACCAATATTGCAAGAATTATCTCCCCATATAATTTTTACTTGAAAAATGTGATTTTTTACTATAACTTCTTTACTTTTAAAAATATCTACCTCAAACTCCAAATACTCATTCCTTATCATCAATTACATCTTATATGTGACAAGGTTCATAACTCTTGAAGCCATATTTTAAAATTTATCTCTTTTTGAACTAAGGATTTTTTTTAAAGAAATCTTTTAACTTCTTTACTTTTTAAGGTATCTACTTCAAACTTTAATGTCTTATCATTACACACACTTTGTGTGACAAGGTTCATATTTCTAACATGACTATTTCCAGAATCATTCCCCCTTGAACTTGGAATTTATTTTAACAAATGTTATTTTTTTAATATTACTTATTACATAAATATACATTTTTTTTAGTTTTGTCTTCCTTACTGCGTCGAGTATTGAATTAGTCGAGCTTCGCTGTCTCCTGTGACAGCTCTTGTTTATTGTTCTGTAGTAGACATTTAAAAAGTTTGGTTTTATTTTGTATTTAAAACTATGTATCGATATAAAGAAAAATCTCCCAGGTATACATTACTAATAGTAGTAAGTCACAATTGAAACAACGAACCCTAAAAATAAGAACAGTAAATTTTTTTCGACTTTTTGTATTTGTTTAAAATTCATGTAAATATTATCGTTTATTTTCTTTGATTATATAAGTTACGGGGTTATTGTACTCTTTGACAAGTTGATCTTTTTTATAAAAACAATACACAATCAGTATAGTGTGAATTTTAAATAGCTTCTTTCAGTGAACTGAATTGTATACTAGGTAATGATAAATCATGTTTTAAACTGATTTAGAATATTGCTTTATGAAAACAGCCGAAACGATCCAAATCTACTATTTAAAAGCATAGATCCGTGCAAACATTTGGTAAAAATTTATGAAAATGCTAGTAAAGAAAACTATTAGAGTAATTGATTGAATATTACCAGGGCTTGTATTTTTCAAAACATATATGTGCAAGTATGTACACGTTATTTTGGTTGATATTTAACTGGTAAAAATGCTTGGTAGAATGTACAGTAGGGTGAACGTTTCAGTTTACACGCAAAACGCACGTTCTGAAAAAAATCACATGCACGTTACTTGCTAAACGAACCAACGTTACACGCAGGCTAAAATCAACAAAATTCGCAGATATATGCTAAAAGAAATACGTTAAACGCTCTTTTGATACGCTAGAATGCACACAAAATGAAAACGTTTCTTACGTTTGAAATAAAAAATCTCATTTATAAAAGTTTTTAACAACTATAGGCCGCGATAGTTTATACCTATTTTATTTTAAAATATGATAGCTTGACATCACGGATTTATATTGAGATCTATGCTTGACATAAAGATTTTATAAATTTATGTTTATATCAAAATGCCCTCATCAAATAAATTTTCACAACAATATTAGGCTATAATGCGCTAATGTCAACATCTGATTGTTAAAAAGTACGTCTTCATGCGCACTTCTGCAATATTTTTTTTTGCCCGTGTATCTGTTAGACAGACGTTTATTCCCGCGTACACAAAAATATCAAAAATGGTAGAACCTTTAGCTATGCGTTAATTGAATTATCTATATCTTTTTGTGATTCCATGCATAATGCAAGGAATGGTCCCAAATCCAACAAAACAAATTAAGTAAGAAGGTCGAGACCATAGGTGCAGGGACGGGACAGAGAGCACTTCCTCACTGAAGAGGGTATATAAACATAACTGCCTGCATTAAATAATAAGCAGGAAATATTTATTAATATCACATGGGTAGTTAAGTATGCAGACTGACTGACCCTCAAACCAAAGACACCCAGAATACAATACATTAGCACTACAAAAATACACCCAGAACCCTTATAACACCATACCACAGCTCTTACGCTTACATATCTTTTCTCATATGCGATTACTTCTACTCATTTACATAGTCCCCCACTATACTGAAATTTGTTCTTGGTACATTTAACTGATAAAGTGAACTAGCTTTGAGTTATATAAAGGTATAGCCTTTGTTTGGTGCAAAAAGTAACAGAGTGAGAAAGTTGTGCAGCCTGACTGGGGTTCGGACATGGGAATTGCATTGAATACTATTCCGCAGCTCTTTCAAAAGAGCTTTTTGGTTGCTTACTTTCTCACTTAGTATTTAACACTCTGACGATCCTGATGGCCAATTATCACAGGGTTAGAAAAATGTGCAGTCTGATCGAATTCAATATGATAAGCAAGATCAACAAGGAAAGGCGGCGTTCAATGAACGCAACCCCCATATGACCCAGCAACAACCATGGATCCTTGGAAAGCTATATGCGGGCTGTACTGGCAGAGTAATCTGGATATATCACATTTTCCTGTCCCCCTGACAATTAGATGTAGACAAGTATGCTAGAGGGGGATATTCGGACCGAAGAACTCCCCCCTAAAATAAACAAATTTCCCTTGAAATGTGAAAATCCCAATACATTATGTGATTAAAGTTTGCAAATTAGACAACTGAACCATGTGAAGATAAGTTTAATATTCATTTATTACATTAAACATCCATGTGCAAAAAAGAACAAAATGCGTAAATTAAAACATTTACTGATAGTGACCCATTATTGAAAGCAAACTTCATCAGAAACATCCCTGGACTTGTTTCAGAATTTTAACATTTGATTGATCTATGATTCATTCTTATTACCACTAATTGCAATGGCTTAATATAACTGAGCCTGCAACATTTTATAATTTTGCTGTTTAAAGCGTCTTTAACGTTTCAGTTTTTTCTCTCTTTTAACAGGAAGTAACATTTGTTTTCCAACTTGTTTGTTCTTTCCGTCTATCTTAGGCATTACAGTCTATTCTTGCTGTATATAAACAGTATGGTTGTTGGCAGTTCTTTGGCCCAGGCTATGAAATAACTTTCTTATTATCTTTTGTGTTGATAAATAGATAAGCTTTATGAACATTTTACAAGTTGTTAGTTCGTCAAAAGCATGAAGGTCCCGAGGAGTGAATCTGACTGAATTTTCGTTTTTGACAAGCTTATTATATCTCAGACTTGATATTTCAAGTTTGTTCAGATATTTCATACCTGCAGGTATAGGCTACTGGAATCCTCTTATCACGATGTGAAATAAGATATCATTTTTTATTTGTTTGTACAAAATTGTTAATAAAATGATCTTTGATAATAATACATGATAAACAAAAATACGTTTGGACTCGATACACGTTTGGGAAACGCTTCTATCAAACGCACGTTGCACGCGTACGCACGCACGTTATACGAAAATGCACCGGAGAAAAACATTATTGTAGACAACCTAAACGTTCCCCTTGCTGTAGCATGGTGAATCCATTCATATTTAGTTTAGCTCACATAATATTTTATTTTAACCTGGGGGTTTAATTTTTTTCCTGTTTAATGTATACACAATAAAGACATCTTTGACAGACTTTCGCTTCTATCACTTTTTTCCTATTTAGCTGTAATTCTAATACCCTTAAATGTGTCGACAAAGAATCGGCGGGCAGGATAATAATAACTCGTTTTGTGCTTGAGACAATTCTAATATATTTTCATTGTTATGATTATTTTTCACTACGTAACTCAATAAGTCACTGTGAACAATTTGAACGTAAGACTGTGAAATCCCGACACATTTAACAATTTCAATTTACTAACTATATGCTTATAACATTAGATTAACAAATAACAAAGATAAACATGGCATATACTAAAATATAAAATAATGATATGAATTTCATAACCTTTTTTGTTAACATTTTGCTTCATGTATTAAAATCACAATATCATTGCAGAAATATATAATGTTTAAATTACATATTTCAACAAAAGAATTAGTTCAACGCTATTTTATGCATCCAGAAAAAAATCAATATTCTAACTTTGGGGTTTATTTTATTTCCTGTTTAATGTATACACGATAAAAATACATCTTTGACAGACTTTTGTTTCTATTACATTTTCGTATTTAGCTGTAATTCTAATACCCTTTAATGTGTCGACAAAACATAGAAAATTCTTCCGACCAATAACTTCTGCTTCAATGCATAAGAATTACCACACACCGTCAAAATGTGATATTTCATATCTTAAATCAAATAAAAACTTTATTTGAAACGTAAACATTTATTTTATTGTTTCTTCAAACTGTTTGACAGGTATTCCTTTCTACAAAAGTATCTGTATTCATATTGTCATATTGCAGTAGCAAAAAGTAAATTTTTGTTCATTTTATTGCAAGACTGGACCTAACATTGAGCAGATAAGTCTACAGATATGAAGCTTTGCAGCGTTATTTCTACCTCGTATTTTTAGTGATAACAGATAACACGTTAAAGCCGCATCCATTCTATTTTCTTGCTCCATACACTGACCTAGAAGGTTAAGCGCTGTTTCTCTGTGTCCGAAATTTGGCTCCTCTACAAAACATTTAGCAAGGTTGGAAATTGCCGCCTGTTTATCCCGATGTCTTCTAAGATGAGAATATGTCTTATACTGTAAAAAGTATAAGTAAGGCAAAGAATCTACTACAGCCAAATCCATCCATATATCTTTTTTACCTCTATAAGGGAGGTCTTGTTGTGATGATCTGAACATTTCATGTTGGAGTTCGCAGGGACAGCAGTTTATTTCGCATCGTAGAAACCTGACACAAGATGCAGTTGTACTCTGCAACAATGTATATTCATTATCTGTTTCGTAACATAGCTTATCGAATGCCTTTTTATGTTTAGTTTTTCGAAAATCGTAGCACTTACATACTTGTTCAACTATATTGAGATCATAACCTTCTTCAATGTTTTTCAAAATGAATTCTGTCCTCTCAATATCTCCAGTACACAAGAACATTGAGGCTAGTTTCAGTTTACCTGACGCTACATCAATGTTTAAACCTAACGTCATCAAAACAATAGACTTTCGGCAGACACCTCGTTCACTTTGTAAGTTAATTGAGGCTAGTGCAGATCCTAAATGCATGCTTAGAAATTTAGCTATTTTACTACATGCTAATTTATTGTGCCCTTGATTCATATCATGAGTTAATTTCATTAGGTATATATATAATATTTGTAATAGAATTCTAATGTGATTGATTTTATTCGTTTCTATAAGCAAGACCGTAATATTATCATTGACAATATAAGCAGCATTTTTGACCAGTTCTCCTGAAATCAAACACGACATCTGTTCAGGAACAATCTCTTTTAATCTCAAAAATGTGTTTTCAATTCTAGACCCAAGTTGATCACATTCTATTTCAAGTAAAGCACTTCCGTTACTGCTAATAATGTAACAAAGTCTATCTAGAATGATTTGTTTTGTTACCGGAGTAAAACGTCTCAACATTAAATTGTTCTCTGGGATGATAAAATGCGGACAGTAATCATTAATAACACAATTGTAAAGTACTGTCAGACAATAATTCAAACAGATGAGCAAGGTGTTTTCGTTCCAAGCATTGTTGTCTGTACTTGAAATACAATGAAGCATGACCGTTTTACACATGTAACTTGAAATGCTATCAGGGCATTGTGTGGTTATAAACGTTTTTAAAATCATTTTCATTAAGACAAAGCATCTGATTTGTGTTATATTGAGACTGAACATTAAAAATCTCTCAGCAATGGAAGTGGATATTCTCCATTCAAGTTCTTCATTAACACTGCCTTTGCTTCCAACTCCTACAACAAAACATCCCGTGCCTTTACAATACTGTTTCATATCGTTTGTAGGCCATTGACCTTCACCTTGCTGATTAATCCATTGTCTAGCTTGTAATGGCCATTGTTGACAAGTCATTGCAAGGACAATGTCTCTACCAAAGAAACCAGGTCTTTCATCCATTGATTGTGCTGGACCATGTCTAACACGTTCATCACCTCCCCCGATATTTACTATTGAATTCTTTAATAATACTCTTCCTATTCTATCTCTATACCAGTTCTGATGATACGCATTCTCTTCTGGAAGTGGAGCATCTTCTCTAAGTATCTGTAATAAGCAATATCCTGGTGATACAGTTTCATCCTGTATCATTAACAGGTTTTCTACACCAGGTTCCCATTCACTCCAGTCTTGTATCACTTTGGATTTTGGTAATGTATAGAGTAAATCTCCGTCAGAATGAAGACCAAGTGTTGTAGTACCTTCTACTCTACTACCTAATGAATATATATTCATGTCTTCATTTAATACTAATTGTTGTCCTATCGTCCATATTGTTTCATTTATTAGCTGTAGTCGCCTTCTTTTTATTACCATTCTTTCGTTCACTCCTATCTCATCAAGTACTTTAGACAGTCTGAGTGATACATTGCGAGTGTAATCAATTTCCGACATCCTGTAAATTTTATTAAATATTATTATTTTCATCATAAATAAAAAAAAATATTTTTTCCGTAAGCTATCTGGATAGCCTCCTCACATGACAGAATCCAACGTCTCTGTCGGTATTCGAACCCACAGCGTAGGGGTAAGTGGTTTGAAGTCAACGACCTTAACCACTCGGCCACTGACGCCCCTCATAAATAAATGTGTCAATAAATAAACAAAATGCATGTCTGCAATTGATTGTGTAAAGTTCAAATAAAAATTGTCTTTTCGAGATGTATATTTCAGCACAATATGAAGTTTCTCAATTTTTATATTTTGTGTTTGTTTTTCCTTATTATTCGATGTTTAATGGTAGCTTTGAGAAACGTCGTGTTAGCTGTCCAACAACTTAGAAATGCCTGTTCTAATTTGTTTGTTGTTGTGCTTGTTGTTGTTATTTTTGTAATTGAAAACTTGCATCATTGAGTGTTTCAAACTTGAAAATAATTGATCAATGAAATCAGCTGATACGAAAAATTCGAATTGGAATTTTGTGATATGAAAGAAACGGTATTGTCAACATCAAAGACGAAATAGTGCAAAAATCATAATAATTACTAGGAAATTTTTGGCAAAAAAATCGTATTTTCCCACCATGCAAATGTTAATTATATGAATTATAATAGCTTAAGAAAATCATTTCATTTAGCGTTTTTAATTGGTACAAAAAGGCATCAAATGTCTTTTTACATGATAATTCACTACCAGGATGATTTTCAAGTTTTGATTGAGATATTTTTGATACTAAGAGTGAAAAGGTTTAACTAACCCTGACTCGAATTTGGCACAATGATGAAATTAATTGCTATTTAATTTGTTCCTCAAATGTACTACAATAATAAAAATAAGATTTTGAATAGGGAACGATAATCATGGATCCTTGTTCAAAAGATAATAAAAAATATTAATTATCATAAAATAACCTCCCGTTGATCCTCAACAACAAAATTACTATCCAGCACCTATTTAATATAGTTGAATGCAATGACATCCTAAACACCTTAATCATAATCTAATATTTTTAGATTTGTAAAATCAAGTATAATACATGATCAAAAGATAATGGTATGCACCTAAATTACTTCTATTATTCACATGATCAGATCCTGCATGTTGAGGAGGGATAAGATAATGTGCAACAAAGATAATAATCTTGTATGATTTATGCATTTGATACATCTTCAATATTGTTTTTTAACTGTTAAAAATTGAAATAATTCTTCAACATCATTGTAAATTATGGTCCAATAAATGTTTTTTTCATAGACAATATTCAAAAAAGAACACCAATTGTACAGTATTAGTAATTTTACAATTTACATTTTTTAATAGAAACTTGAAAATCACAACTTGGGAATTATCCTATTTTCTCTAAAGTTTTAGTAATGGAAGAAATCACAATCTCATTGTAGTCTTTACTAATGGATGTCGTACCTCATGTCATCACATTAATTAATTTAAATAAACCATAAAGTTCACTCTTTCTTTTATTCAATTTGTAATAAACTAGGAAGTTGAGAATTTTTATCTTTGCTCTAATAATTTGTCAAATAGGAAAGTCTATTGTAAGTATGTTTCGCTTGAACTAGGTCAACGATTAAGTAAGTAAATCAGAAAAAAGACATATTAGACATATATAAAAAGTGTTCATTGGAAAACCTTTACCAAATTTATCAAATTAACATGTTCAAGAACGGCGTATTTACGATGAATTTCATTTGAAAACGCTTTAACCAATTAATTGTTTGAAACATTCAATTACCTCTGCATCAAATGTTTTAAATTGAAGAAATATAAATTTGTATGGAACGATTTCATTCTAATAGTATGAACTTTTCTTTAAAGTAGAATTATTACATATGTTAAAGAACAACTTTAAGAGTGGTATTCCTTTTTGCTCTTTAAATGCTTGTACATTTAAAGAGTTCATTGAAAATATATTTGTAATAAACTTAATAATTTTTATCTTTCAAAAAGCTTGTGTAAATGTTGGACAAAGCGGAATATTTGTATAAAGCAAATTTGTGGTTTATTCATAGACGGCAAAATGTGATAAAACAACTAAATGCAAAATAATTTTATTAAACTATAATACAGTATATTTTCATATTTTCAAATTAATTGAAATCATTTTCAGAAAATAATATTTCTACATTTACAATACATTTTGTATTCAATTACCAACTATACATATTTATATTTTTTGTTCCTACTGCAGACATTTAAGAAGTTTTGGCTTAGTTTTATATACAACTATGTATTGATATAAAGAACAAATATTGACCATATTCTCGATCGATAATCAGTATAGAATAATGTCTTAATTTAAATCACGGTAAAATAGTATAATACTATTTGTTTAAACTGCCTTTTATAATAACTTAAATATCACATTTCTATTTATAATTAAAGTTAAAAATACATAAAGATTGCAAATATTTTTAAATGTTCTCCTCGATTTTTTTATATTACGGGGTTATGGTTATCTTTGATATGTTAACCATTTTATTAGATATACTCGTACAATATATATTGTCAATGTGTGTTCAATGAACTTAGTTGTCTACACATGCTAGATATTTAAAAGCTAAAACGGTTCCTCAACTGTTTTGAAAAGCTGCCGTAATTGATATAAATAAAACATTTAAATATTTACGAATCCATGCCAAAATCTGTTGAAATACTTAAGTGGTTGATAATAATAAAAGATTATACAAGGTTTCCAGCTTTAATGTTGGAGGACGAATTCTGGTGCCCTTCAATACAATAATTCAGGCACGAATGGACACCTGAGTAGAACCAACGACGTCCCGTTAGCTAGCTGGATAGCTTCCCCATATGACAGAAGTCCGAAGTCCCTGTCGGTATTCGATATCTTTTAGTGTAATTGAGTGTTTCAAACTTGTATATTATAAATCAATCAAATTATTTGATATGATTAGTTTGAATTGGAATTTTCAAATTTGAAAGAAACCGTATTACAGTAATTGAAGAGATGATGATCGTTTAAAGGTTATTACAATATCAGTGTCAACATCAAAGACAACAGTGAAAAATCATAACAATTACTAGGAAATGACGTGTAGATGTTACTTTATATAAAAATAGCTTGAGAAATTTGCTTTGGTCATTTATTTTACTTAATAGTATTGGGTCTTTTTCATTGGTTCAATTAAGGCATTCAAAATCTGCATTGCATGAAAATTCACTTCAGGTGTCTTTTTACAGTTTTATCAAATATTTTAACTAAGAGTGAAAGTGTTTTACTAAATCCTGAAACCAAATTTGACATGAATTTGGAATTAATTTTATTTGTTCCTCACATGTTATATAATATCAAAGAACAATAATAAACAATTTTTTTGCAAATAAAACGATAAGCATGGCTATCAGTTATAAAGATAATATAAATATTAATCATCATAACTTCAAGTTGACCCTCAACAACAAAATAACCATCCTGAGTACCCATTCACTATATGATATATTAAATGCATCCAATATACATTAATGTCAATCTTATATTTTCTAGAAAAGAAAGAAGTGTAACGGGTTATCAAATAATGATATGAAGTATTTAGCTAAATTACCTCCTACATTTTCATGATTCAGATACTGTTGAGGAGGGCAATAAAGAGAATGACACTGTATAATAGATGCATGCAATACACCTTCAGATAATGGAACAATTAATATAATTCTTCAACATCAAAGAAAAATATGGTCAGTAAATGTTATATTTCATTTATTGTTATAGGCATTATTTCAGAAAAGAACAAAAATTGTAAATTTCAACTTACCTTACATAACTTAAACAATTCATAATTATTTAAAACAAAACATGAAGATTAGCACTTGGAAAATTTCCAATTTTCATTCAAGTTATTACAAAGATTCAATGATGTGAGCAATCACAATCATTTACGACCAATTTAATTTGAAAAAAAAAACCGCGAACTTATTTAATGTTTGAAACAGTCGATCTACCAAATACATATGTTACGATCTATTTATGACTAAAATCCTATTTATAAAAAAATAACGTTTTTTAAAATATACTATTGCTCTACAATAATTTTTTATTGACCTGCTAAATGACCTGTTTAAATCGTTTGTTGTTTGTTTTTGCTAAATGGTGTCTAACTTTTACTTATTCGTTAAAACATTGAATATTTATCACTAATTAAAAATGAAATAAATTATTTTTGAATCTTAATATATAGATAAAAAGCAAACATTCGAAAAAAATACCTGTTAACTTCACCAACTTGACCGTTTGAGCATAAATTGAAATAGAAACTAGGGAAATTCCAACTTTAAATAAAACTACGTCGTATCTTGCGATCCGAACGCCTCGACTATTATTCATAATAATCAATCAATCGGAAGATTGAATAATCAATAATCAATATTGGCGGAAAAGGCCGAAAATTTACGATTATGTTCGGCATTATAACTTCCTTTTATTGTAACTTGAAGAGCGTTTGTGTTTTGTAAATGACATTTGACTATCTTGCCAATTAGTAGCGTTTTTGTAAACTGTAATACAACACCAAAATTAAAATAAATTATAGAATATATTGTTTGTATTTTTATTTTAGAGAAATCTAACATTTTTCTTAATAACATGTGCAGAAATGCTTCCCTTCATATGAAGTCTCATTTACAATATCCATGTGTCTAGATCTAAATCAATAACTTGTTAGTTTAACATAAATATCTTATATAAAATGTCTTCTTTCACAAATTCGAAATGGAATTTTGTGATTTTAAAGAAACAGTGTTGCTGTAGTTGAGAACTAATTATCGTTCAAAGGTTATTTTATTATCAATATAAGCATCAAAGAACAGCAAGGAACAAAAAAAAGAAAAAAAAATATTAAGAAATGGTAGAAATACAAATTTGGACTTTCCTACCATGTATATATTATGTTATATGATAAAAAGCTTGAGAAATGTACTTTGCAGTTTCGAGTTACTTCATTTGTTTGGCATGTATAGGCATTTAAAAGTCGTTGCGAGGAGATTCTCTTAATTGATAATTATAACGCTTTATAAAAGAAACGTTCTTTTTTAACCAGGATTTTGAAACCAGGATTTATACCTGCCCTGACCCGAATGACACCACGAATAATTTAGTTAATATTTCTTTTGGTCCTTTAGTGTATTAGACTTTAACAGAATATTTAAAATGTAAACATTAAATAGAAAATGATAAACGTGTATATTTATCTTAAAGGTAATACAAATATTAGCCGCGATAAATCATTTTTTTGCACTAAAAACATATATACGTATCGTGACTCGTTTAATATTTCTCAAACAAACAAAGGGCAACTATTTTGGATATTATCTTAATAAGAAAACATAAAAATACGCATTCTTTAAATGAAAACAGCAAAACTTCTGTCATAGGTATTTAGATGTCACAACAAAAGAGAGTGGGAATCTATTGTTCAAAATTGACCCAATGTTTTATCGACGCAGTATCTTGACACTTTTGCGATTTCAGGTTTATACAAGATATGTAAATGAAGCGCAAAATAATATTAGATAGTGTAAGAGGAACAATACAAAGCATAAATCTTGTTCTACTTAATTATTATACCTCCCGTCGATTGTCCATAAAACAATTACTATCCAGTACCCTTTTTTATAATATATATTATATAATATATTTAAGGGGTATTTGATAAAAACGCCCGATTTACAGCATTAGAAATTGAAGATAGACCTAACACATACATCTTGGATAGTATATTTATACCTAAAGTAAGCTTAACAGTTGAGCTAATTCTGAAATATGACCCTGTCAAGTACTTGTTACTCTAAAAATTTCCCAAACTTGGGAAACTCCCTTCATTTTCTGTTCATTTAAATTAAGTGAGGCAAGAAATAAAGATTTTATCAAAATATCTACTGTTTCATAAGTATAATTGTTGATATCTGACCTCATCAAATAAATAGATCCTGTTAACTTTTCAAAGTTTCAATTTATTTTCAATAAGGAAGTTCATATTTTTCTTCAACCTTTCGAGATCTATTACATTAAAGAGAAACATATATATATTGCTATTTAGAGAGAAATAGATATAATATCTGATATATATGTACATCTCAAGATAAACATAAAAACAATTGATAGAAATAAATCCCTATACGATCAATTACAGCTTGAATATAGTTTGAAACAGACGCTAGGGTATTTCTAACTATCAATAATACTTTGGACAACTCTGTTTTGAAATTTACATAATATGCTCTTCACAATTATCTCCCTTTATTGTTTTTTTCTTAAAATATATTATATAAAGTATGGATTGAGTTGATTTAGAAAGATATTGAACGTTTTTTACGATACCCTGTACAGAGTTTCTTTCATTCAATAGGATTTCTCTGTTGAATTTTAAGATAAAAACAAATTGAACATTTTCTAGTCTAGTAGTTTACAATACTTTATAATGTTAGAATGTCTACAGAGTGACTTGTTTTCTTTAAATGTTAAATTGAAGTGGTCTATAATGGAAGGTCTTGAATACAAAAATTAATTATCTTGAAAGTATTTAGTATCAGACGTAACAACAAACCACGATATTGACAAGTGTCGGATAAATGATCCAGTATTACATATATATTTATAGCAGATAATAAATTGTTCTAGAACAAAATATAATTATTCATTATATTTAAATGTTTATACTGAATCTTTTATAACTTAATCAATATCTTATTTCAAGGAATAACTTAATAAATATTAATATGATACATTTTTATGTTTTCATTTATATTTGTTTGCAGTTATAGTTGCCAGATAAATGTATGACCAAAAATATTTTAAAGTTTGCGTAAAAAATCGATCGAACAAATACAAGAAATGAAAACTTTAATCTGATGAAGGTTGCATCATATATGTCAATAGATAATAAGTGTATTGCTGATTAAATTTTTAGAAAGGTTTTACTGCTTTAACAAAAGCAATAGTATTTCAGTTAAAGAAGTTTGTGTCAGAAAAATTGACTTGAGAAAAATGAGGAGACAACTTTAGTTGCATTATCAATGTTTTATTCTTTTATTAATCAAAAATATAATTATTGTTTGGTTAATATGTAAATTCGAAACAGAAATATATCCTGTGCGTATTATTATAATTTTTGCATCGGATTTTGCATCAGGTAACCTAAAATGTCTTTATATAATCCGCCTTTAAGTGAAAGAAAAAAGATGATAATTTTGCGATACTTACCACGTTATATTTCCCATATGGAAGACGACTGCACAGGTCACCATGTGAACTCTTTCAAAGTACAATTTGCAGATGCAACCACAATACTGCGATCTATGTAAGTCATAGCTGCCGTTCATGCTGTGACAGTGATTCAGTTGCCATGCATTCCAATAGTTCCTTTGGAACTTTTATAAATTTTCAATTAAATTTCGACACACAGAAAGGCATGTGACTTATTTTTGGTTTTGCGTACATGGCTTAGCTCTTGATTTCTAAAGTGTACATGGTTTTAAAAAATTAGGTATAATGCATGACTGCTCATGGTTTTCCTCTTCATAAATCTTTTTTTTTTATAAAACGTTAAAAAACAACTAAACTACGACGTGCAAACGCGTTCATCTTGAAATAAAAAAGAAATACAAATATAAGGTGTCAAATATTTTGTAACCGTAAGCTTCTCTGTATTATCTCCCCTTACACTTACACCATTTTGTTTAAATATACAAAGAAGAGATGTTGTTTGTCCGTATTATCGTTATCCACACCATTATGTCTATGCATTACCCAAAGAGCAAGGTGAAAAATTTATCAAAGTAATTTTAGAGAAAGATGCCAACGAGATTAAAAAAAGGTAGATGAGGTAAAAAAAAATTATAAGCAATTCTGTTTTTCATTCATCTATGCCCTAATATTACTTTAAAACAACGTTATGATAGTTAACTCAGTAGTCGACAACTTCTGATTTAGACTTTGAAAAAAATCATGGAACGTCTCTGTACATTTTCCATATAAGGAAGCATGGAAGTTTGGACTAAGTAGGACACGCACACATAATTCAAAAGCTATAAGGCAAATACCTTAATCTCGCAATCGCTCAGATTAAATAAACATAAATCACAGCAACAAACATTAAAAACATTTATGTTTTCGTAATAAGATCAGTATTTATTATATATATTTCAATTTTCAGTTATAAGTGCTATAATTTTGATAATTTTAAAAAAAGAAAAACACCAATTTTGTATTATTTTTAAGGACGGAAGGGTAGCAGCTGACTATGCAGAATTGCGAGAAATAAAGGAGATAAAACCATTGTTGTTCGAACATTGTTGCTAGAACACTTGATTGTTTGGAAAGGTAATGCTATTTCTCATTTTATATTTTATATCAGTCAACGTGGAAGAAAACAAAATGACTTTCGTCAATAATGTTCAACATTTTTTGCAGATTTGTATCGTTTTCGGCTGTTTTTATGTAAATAAGATATATGTATAGTAAGTGAATTTTCATTAATTCATTAATTCATTAAAAACTTTAAACGAGCCAAGTATAATGATTATTTTAGAGCTAGATAAGTTCATTTGCAGCTCCTCATTTGCCGACCCTTCTTTGCCGATACTTATTATACTGTCTTGTATGATCAGCAGTTACTTGAATCATTTTTGTCATCATTTAACTGTACTACTGCTAGTTTCTTCTGTGTTCTCTTTCACTTTTATGTTTCACTTTCTGAGAGGACACTGATATGTGATACATCATTATTAACTTAAGCTCACATTGCGTTTTATTATAACTTGTTAAACACAAGTATTTTAATTTCTTGTTAAATATATACACAATAAACGTATTTTTACAACTTTATCAGATTTGCTCCAATAAATCTCCTCATTCTGGTATCCGTTTATATCTTGAAAAAAAAAACGAACTCGGGCAGACCATCTTTCCCGGACGAGCATCAGGCCACCTTAGTGCTTTAGCCTGATATTTTGTCGTAAAGGTTTCAGTGTCTATTACCAAATCATAAACAAAATCGGATCACCGAGAAGATGATTGTGGGTTAAGGGAGAATTTTTTTGAGCAAATATATAAGGAATAAAGCGATTTGTATTAGTTAATCCGTTCAGAGAGTGCATCTGGCCACCCAGTGTCTGACCCAGCATCAAGTTGCCTTAAAAGGACATCGATTAAGTGGTAAGATTTCGCTGAGGTTTTGCGTATTAAAAGCTTTCCCTGTGATCCGATTAATTCGAATTCTGCAAGGCTTGAAATTACAGAGTTCATACGAGAACAACATGTTTATATTTGATAATTCGATACATCACCAAAACATTTTGAAAATTTGACTAGAAAATCAAACACAAATAGTTTTCTTTTCTGTTTAATTTATTTACATTTCAGTATACATATACTATTATATAAACATAGGCTCCACAAAGGCGGGGTTATTTAAGCCTGAACAAAAGTTAGTTTTAGAAGTCAAAAATAATCTTTCAATTAGAGAAGAAACCCATTCATCAAACCCAAAGTGTATGATTCACAAAACTTCTAAGAAAGTCATGCCCAGTATCTAAGCTCTGTGGTTTTATACAATACAACAATGTTTTAAGTCTATATTTTTTAAGTGACCCCGGGGCGGGTCAAAAATCAACAAACTCTGAGTATAATATGAATTAGTTTTTTTGGAGGTCTAAAAAGTTATTCTGCATACAAGATATGAAAGTTATGGGCATTGTAGTTTCTTTTCAAAAATAAGTCATCAATGTGTGTTTTCAAATAGATAACCTATGTCAATCAGGTGACTCCCGGGCGGAGCCAATATTGATCCAATGGACCTGATGAATATCACTTTTGTAAAGGTCTACATTGCAGTGCTACATGCCAAATATTGAAGCTCTATGCTTGTAGTTCCACGAACAGTACGAGGCACAAGTGTGTTTTTCTACATAAACCCTACGACGGGACCAATTTTGATAAGGAAAAATCTAAACCAGGCTTCCGCCCGTCATCTCATTATAATTAAAATTTCTTGGAAATATATTTAATTTCCATCTATCGGTGCAAAAGATCTTGTGCGGACACGAAATTTTGTATTTTATACATGATGCTTAAGTGTGATCTTAACCTTGACCTGAGGAAGATACCGACCGCACGGACGCCAGGTTCATACAAATAGACGCATTTCTTTCTTAGCTGTTTAAATCGTTTATTTTCCTTCTTTTTTTTTCTTACTAATTGGTTTGTTTGCTAATTGGTGTTTATACTTATTCGTTGAAACGTTGAATATTTATCAATACTTAAGAACAAAATATAATATTTGTGAATTTAAATATTTAGATAGAAAGCAATTAATCGAAATGAATACCTGTTAACTTCACCAACTTGACCGTTTGACCATGAATTGAAATAGAAACTAGGAAAATTCCAACTGTTAATAAAACTACGTCGTAGCTGGCAATCCAACCACCTTGACAATTATTCATGATAATCAGTCAATCGGAAGATTGAATAATCAATGTTGGCGGAAAAGGCCGAATATGTACGATTATGTTCGGCATAGTTACTTCCTTTTATTATAACTTGAAGAACTTTTGTGCTTTGTGAATGATATCAGACTATCTTGCCAATAAATAGCTTTTTGTAAACTGTAATACAACACTAATGATAAATCGAGATAAAGAATTTATTGTTTTTTTTTTATTATAGATAAATATGATGTTTCATTTACATTTATCCATGTGTCTAGATTTAAATCAATAACATGTTAGTTTAACATAAATATCTTAATATATAAAATGTCTTCTTTCACTAGTTCGAAATGGAATTTTGTGATTTAAAAGAAACAGTGCTGCTGTAGTTGAGAAATAATTATCGTTCGAAGGTTATTTTATTATCAATATAAGCACAAAAGAACAGCAAGGAACAAAAACCAAAAAAAAAAAAAGGAAAAAAATATATTAAAAAATGGTTGAAATACAAATTTGGATTTTCCTACCATGTAGATATTAAGTTATATGAGATTAATAGCTTGAGAAATGTACTTGGCAGTTTCGAGTTACTTCATTTGTTGGGCATTTAAGGGCATTTAAAAGTCGTTGCGAGGAAATTCTCTTCATAGATAATTATAAGGCTTTATGAAAGATATATTTTGTATCAACACTGAATTTAGGGTTTAATCTAATCTGACCCGAATGACACCATTAATAATTTAATTACTATTTCTTTTTGATCCTTAAGTGTCTTCAACATAAACAGAATAATTAAAATGTAAGCTTGAAATAGAAAATGATAAACAGTACAATACAATACAATACAGTTTATTTGCTTTAAACATTATAACAACGTTTCTAGCATAACATAACAGGTAACCTAGTTATTAGCAATAAAATGCAAAACTAAATGGTATGAAATCTGTGTTAGCGGAGGGATATTTGTTATATGACAAAATATAAATCTTGATTTGATTTTTTTTTTGTGATGAAAAACATAAAGATTACTACATAAATTAAGAGAAACATGTTAATTACCTCTTCTTTTAAAGGCAAAGTATAGATATCTTGATAAATTTTGAGTCATTTTTCTAGAATTAGATGATAAGATACTTTCAAACTTTGTGATTGTTGGCCAATGGCAATAATAACTTGGCAAATATTTTATTCTTATATCTTTATAGTAAGGGCAGACCAACAAGAAATGATATTCGTCTTCAATTTGATTAGAATTGCAAAAGGTACATAGTCGACTTTGCCTGGGTGTGTCGTCATATCTTCCAGTTTCAATACGTAAATTATGTGCTGATATTCTGTATTTAGTTAAAGCTATTCTAAATTTTTGTTCACAAACATCTGAAAAATATTTCTCCAACATAAAATCGTGTTTGTATATTGAATAAAAATGTAAGCGACTTGAATTATTTATTTCACAGTACCAATTTTGTTTGTAAGTATCAATAACTCTTAACTTAATCTCTTCAAACGGAACGTCTATATCAAACTGACAATGCCAAATATAACTGAAACCGTGACTATCTAATATCATTTTGATTTGAGTTGCCCAATTTTGAGAGAAATTATTTTTATTATCAGTTTGATTTTTCAGCATAAGAAATGTTTGTTTAATAAGCGAATTTTGATCTTGTTTTAATATGTGTATCCAATACTTAAGCATTTTTATTTTTCTATTACATTCCATCGGTAATCGTCCAGTTACACCATATAGTGCACATAAAATGGTTGACTTTTTGACACAAAGAACCCGCCTTAAAATTTTTGTATGTACAGCTTCGATATCTGGTGCTTTATGACTGTCCTATATTTGTGAACCAAAGTTAAGAACGGAACCGACAACAGTATCAAATAACGAAAGCTTTTGGGACATTCAGTGTAATTAAGTATTTAAAATGAATTAAATAAAGAAAATGAAGCATGTTGCGAAATACTTTTTTGGGTGCAAAACCAGTTACCATTTTTAAACAAAGTTATTCCAAGATATTTAAAAGAGGGAACTATTTCAATTAGAGTGTTGTCAATGTAAAAATCAAATGTCGTATGTCTGCCACGTTCGAAAAACATAGCTTTTGTTTTAGAAGTATTAATCTTTAATCCCCAAATATTACAATAATCAACGACATCGTTTAACGTTAACTGTAAGGAAACTGGCGAAGAAGAAAATAGTGCCTGGTCATCGGCATACAGAAGTAGAAACAGTTTAAGCTCGTTTAAAGTAACAATCCAATCAAGGTCTGAATTAATATATTGTGTAATGTCGTTGACGAACAGCATAAAAAGAAGAGATGAACTGGGGTCTCCCTGTTTTAGGCTAATATTTGAGCTAAAATATTCTGAATATGAGTTGTTATACCTTAAACATGTTTTAACAGTCTTGTACAAAGATTTTATAGCGTTCACTAATTTGAGACTTACGTTTTTCTGAAATGAGTTTTTGCCAATCTTATCAAAACACTGTTGGTAATCAATAAAGATGCAGTATAATTTCTTCCCCGAATTAATGACTTTAGAAATTATAGAATGTAAAATAAATATGCAATCAATAATTGACTTCCCTTTCTGAAAACCAAATTGATTTTTAAAATTTTTGTCATGTTCATTTGCCCATATTGTTAACCTAATGAGTAAAAGTTGTGAATAAATTTTAGCCAAAATATTTATTAATGTGATACCTCTATAATTTTTAGATTCGTTAATGTCACCCTTTTTAAATATTGGTGCAATAATTTCTTCTCCCCATGAGATAGGATAATCATTTGAATTAAAAATTTTATTATATAACTTGCACAAAAATGGTGATATAATATCATATGTTTACTTAAGCATTTCGCTGATAATATTGTCCGTCCCTGGTGATTAGTTATTTTTGTGTGAAAATACAGCGGTTCTAATTTCAGTTTCACTAAAGTTTTTATCTAATTTCTCGTCTGTGTGATGCTCATAATTTTCTTCATTTCTAAATTGCGATGTATCACCAAAAAGAGTCTTAAAATGGTTATATAAATCATTCACTGTTAGTGTTTGTGATTGTGATGATTTACTTTTACATGTATTATTCAAGGTTTGCCAGAATGTTTTAGGATTATTCTTAACTAGTTTCTATAGTCTTTTTCCTTCATTTATTTTAAACATATTTTGAGCACTCTTCTTAACTTTATTATACTTTGTTCTCGAACGTATGAAGTTATTTTTATTTATGTCATTTCTGTCTCTAATAAATTTATTTCGTGCTTTATTGAAGGTAATTTTCTCGTTTACGCAGTTTTTATCAAACCATTTAGATTTACGCATGTGATTGTATTCATTTAGCTCATTTGGTATACTCTTTGCAAATAAGTCTTGACCTTTTTAAACTAAAATAGATGAAAATGAATTAATTAAGCGTCTATTTGGTTTGATTCAAGGGCATTGGTTAAATCAATAAATTCAATTTTCTAATTCTTTTACATGTGCTTAATTTCTTGCTTTATCCCATAAAATTTTTGTTTGTTTGTCACCAGAAAATGAATAATTTAAAGTGGTCTCATTGTTTTTCTTACATTTAAGTTCAAAGAACAAGGCTGCATGGTCCGAAAATTCATTTAACGGCATAACTTGAAAGTCAATCAAGGTAGATAAATCCTCAAGACATATCAGCAAATAATCCACAGTGCTTTCCCTTGACTAGAGCAGTAAGTGAAAGACCCAATATTTTTATTCGAGAGCAGACGACCGTTTGCTATTATGAAGCCTGTGGATATACACAGGTCAATAAAACGTTTACCTTGAGAATCAATCACGTTTTCTTGGTTAAACCTGGGAGGAATATCATTTCTGTTTATATATGGCATATTATGGTCAATATATTTATCATGCATGAAAAAATTTGAGGTTCGACTGTTAAAGTCTCCAGTAACATATACTTTGCCGAGTTCCTTATATTTTAAAATATTAATCTCAATATTTTCAAAAAAGTCAAATTGATCTTTATTTATAACTTTCGAGGTAGAAGGAGTAATATATGTAGGGAAAATAAACACATCATCGTTAAAGTCAAATAAACAACGATCTAATTTTACCCAAATGTAGCCAATTTTTATCAACAATAGACACGTACTTACTTATCTTATCTGTATAATAAAGAGATATGCCACCACTCGTTCTACCTCTTGTTGTATTGGGAGTTGGGACCCTATCCCGCGTCCGGCTTTCTTCAAATCGTCGGCAAAATCGAACGAAGCTGCTCTCACCTTTTCACGCTGATGGCCATAATGAAATGAAACTAGGATTGGATGAGATTGTTTTGCACTGGCTGAAGCCGCTGAACCTTTTGAAGTATAAATTCATGAGTGTCTTCGATTTTTAACGTTTCAGCACAAAATTCCTTAATTAGGGTTTCACAGTTTTCATGCTCATTTTCTCGGAAACTGTAGAACAGGAGGTTGTTTTGAAGAATCTGTATTTCGAGGTTCGTAATTCGTTCCTCACGTCAACTTTTTTGCGCGAGGAAATCGGTTGATTGTTGTTGAATAGTTTTACATGATGATCGTAAATTTTTCATTTCGTTTCGCGACTGCTTGATTTCCGATTTAATTGAGTAGTTATCTTTTGTGAGAAAATCACAGAACTTTTCGTTGTCACTTAATCGAGTATTCATAGATTTCATTTTTTGTTTCAAGATCAACAACCTTAGAGTTTATCGTATTTACCCTTTTTTCTATTTTATCCACATTTCATTTTCATTTGTTCTTTGATATGTTTGATATCTTGTAGTAACTCAGTTGCCCAGGGGAGGTACGAACCCAAAGCTTGCTGCCATTGGTGGTGGGCTACCGGGGTAGGCCGACTGCATCATATTGAATGGCAGTTGTGAGTAAGACATCTCCGCGGCAAATATTTCAGCATTAAATTCCGAAACAAAATATGGACTGTCTTGTTTACTAAACGTGTATATTTATCTTAAAGGTAAAACAATTATTAGCCGCGAAAAACATATTTTTGCACGAAATACATTTACGTATCGTGACTTCAATAGTTCTCAAACAAACAAAGGACAACTATTTTGGATATTATCTTAATAATAAGAAAGCATAAAAATACGCATTATTTCAATTAAAACAACAAAACGTCTGTCATAGGTATTAAAATGTCACATGAAACGAGAGTGGGAACAATCTTGTTCATTTATCGACGCAGTATTTTGACACTTTTGCTATTTCAGGTTTATTAAAGATATGTTAATGGAGCGCAAAATAATATTAGAGGGTGTAAAAGGAACAATACAAAGCATAAATCTTGTTCTTCTTAATTATCATACCTCCCGTCGATTGTCAACAACAAAAGTACTATCTAGTACCATTTTTAAAGGCATTTTAAACTCACGGTCCGTTGTTGTGAGAATCGACCGAATGTAGTAGTATTTACAACTTACATGATTAAAGAGGTATATGATAAAAAGCAAGCCGTCATCACAAATTGAAGATAATACAGTCATACATCTTGGGTAGTATATTTTACACCTAAAGAAAGATTTACGGTTCAACTAATTCTGAAATATGACCCTGTTAAGTACTTGTTACTCTAAATATTTCCCGACTTTGGGAAACTCCCTTTATTTTCTGTTCATTAAAATTAAGCGAAGCGAGAAATAAAGATTTTATCAAGTATCTACTGAAACATAAGTATAAGTGTTGCTATCTGACCACAAATATAGATCCTGTTAACCTTTGGTAGGATTCAATTTATTTTCAATAAGGAAGTTCATATTTTTCTTCAACCTTTCAAGATCTATTTAATTTTAGAGAAACATACATATAGCCATTTAGAGAGAAAGTGATATAATAAATGATAACTAATACATCTTAAGATTAACAAAAACAAATGATAGAAATTAATCCCTATATTATGAATTACAGCTTGAATATAATTTTAAACAGACACTAGGGTATTTCTAATTATCAATTATACTTTGGACAACTACGTTTTGTGATACACATAATATGCTCTTCACAATTATCTCCCTTTATTGCTTTTTTTCTTAAAATATATTATATAAAATAGGAATTGAGTTAATTTAGAAAGGTATTGAACGTTTTATACGATACCCTGTACAGAGTTTCTTTCATTCAATAGGATTTCTCTGTTGAATTTTAAGATTAAAACAAATTGAACATTTTCTAGTCTAGTAGTTTACAATACTTTATAATGTTAGAATGTCTACAGAGTGACTTGTTTTCTTTAAATGTTAAATTGAAATGGTCTATAATGGAAGGTCTTGAATACAAAAATTAATTATCTTGAAAGTATTTAGTATCAGACGTAACAACAAACCACGATATTGACAAGTGTCGGATAAATGATCCAGTATTACATATATCTTTATAGCAGATAATAAATTGTTCTAGAACAAAATATAATTATTCATTATATTTAAATGTTTATACTGAATCTTTTATAACTTAATCAATATCTTATTTCAAGCAATAACTTAATAAATATTAATATGATACATTTTTATGTTTTCATTTATATTTTTTTGCAGTTATAGTTGCCAGATAAATGTATGACCAAAAATATTTTAAAGTTTGCGTAAAAAATCGATCGAACAAATACAAGAAATAAAAACTTTAATCTGATGAAGGTTGCATCATATATGTCAATAGATAATAAGTGTATTGCTGATTAAATTTTTAGAAAGGTTTTACTGCTTTAACAAAAGCAATAGTATTTCAGTTAAAGAAGTTTGTGTCAGAAAAATTGACTTGAGAAAAATGAGGAGACAAGTTTAGTTGCATTATCAATGTTTTATTCTTTTATTAATCAAAAATATAATTATTGTTTGGTTAATATGTAAATTTGAAACAGAAATATATCCTGTGCGTATTATTATAATTTTTGCATCGGATTTTGCATCAGGTTACCTAAAATGTCTTTATAAAATCCGCCTTTAAGTGAAAGAAAAAAGATGATAATTTTGCGATACTTACCACGTTATATTTCCCATATGGAAGACGACTGCACAGGTCACCATGTGAACTCTTTCAAAGTACAATTTGCAGATGCAACCACAATACTGCGATCTATGTAAGTCATAGCTGCCGTTCATGCTGTGACAGTGATTCAGTTGCCATGCATTCCAATAGTTCCTTTGGAACTTTTATAAATTTTCAATTAAATTTCGACACACAGAAAGGCATGTGACTTATTTTTGGTTTTGCGTACATGGCTTAGCTCTTGATTTCTAAAGTGTACATGGTTTTAAAAAATTAGGTATAATGCATGACTGCTCATGGTTTTCCTCTTCATAAATCTTTTTTTTTTATAAAACGTTAAAAAACAACTAAACTACGACGTGCAAACGCGTTCATCTTGAAATAAAAAAGAAATACAAATATAAGGTGTCAAATATTTTGTAACCGATAGCCTCACTGAATTATCTCCCCATAAACTTACACCATTTTGTTAAAATATACAAAGAAGAGATGTTGTTTTTCAGTGCAATCGTTATCCACTACATTATGCCTATGCATTACCCAAGGAGCAAGGTGAACAGTTTATCACAAAGTAATTTTAGAGAAAGATGCCAACGAGATTAAAAAAAGGTAGATGAGGTAAGAAAAATTATAAGCAATTCTGTTTTTCATTCATCTATGCCCTAATATTACTTTAAAACAACGTTATGATAGTTAACTCAGTAGTCGACAACTTCTGATTTAGACTTTGAAAAAAATCATGGAACGTCTCTGTACATTTTCCATATAAGGAAGCATGGAAGTTTGGACACGCACACATAATTCAAAAGCTATAAGGCAAATACCTTAATCTCGCAATCGCTCAGATTAAATAAACATAAATCACAGCAACAAACATTAAAAACATTTATGTTTTCGTAATAAGATCAGTATTTATTATATATATTTCAATTTTCAGTTATAAGTGCTATAATTTTGATAATTTAAAAAAAAGAAAAACACCAATTTTGTATTATTTTTAAGGACGGAAGTGTAGCAGCTGACTATGCAGAATTGCGAGAAATAAAGGAGATAAAACCATTGTTGTTCGATGCTAGAACACTTGATTGTTTGGAAAGGTAATGCTATTTCTCATTTTATATTTTATATCAGTCAACGTGGAAGAAAACAAAATGACTTTCGTCAATAATGTTCAACATTTTTGCAGATTTGTATCGTTTTCGGCTGTTTTTATGTAAATAAGATATATGTATAGTAAGTGAATTTTCATTAATTCATTAATTCATTAAAAACTTTAAACAAGCCAAGTATAATGATTATTTTAGAGCTAGATAAGTTCCTTTGCAGCTCCTCATTTGCCGACCCTTCTTTGCCGATACTTATTATACTGTCTTGTATGATCAGCAGTTACTTGAATCATTTTTGTCATCATTTAACTGTACTACTGCTAGTTTCTTCTGTGTTCTCTTTCACTTTTATGTTTCACTTTCTGAGAGGACACTGATATGTGATACATCATTATTAACTTAAGCTCACATTGCGTTTTATTATAACTTGTTAAACACAAGTATTTTAATTTCTTGTTAAATATATACACAATAAACGTATTTTTACAACTTTATCAGATTTGCTCCAATAAATCTCCTCATTCTGGTATCCGTTTATATCTTGAAAAAAAAACGAACTCGGGCAGACCATCTTTCCCGGACGAGCATCAGGCCACCTTAGTGCTTTAGCCTGATATTTTGTCGTAAAGGTTTCAGTGTCTATTACCAAATCATAAACAAAATCGGATCACCGAGAAGATGATTGTGGGTTAAGGGAGAATTTTTTTGAGCAAATATATAAGGAATAAAGCGATTTGTATTAGTTAATCCGTTCAGAGAGTGCATCTGGCCACCCAGTGTCTGATCCAGCATCAAGTTGTATTAAAAAGACATCGACTAAGTCGTAAGATTTCATTGAGGATTTGCGTATTTAAAAGCTTCCCCTGTGATCCGATTAATTCGAATTCTGCAAGGCTTGAAATTACAGAGTTCATACGAGAACAACATGTTTATATTTGATAATTCGATACATCACCAAAACATTTTGAAAATTTGACTAGAAAATCAAACACAAATAGTTTTCTTTTCTGTTTAATTTATTTACATTTCAGTATACATATAATATTATATAAACATAGGCTCCACAAAGGCGGGGTAATATAAGCCTGAACAAAAGTTAGTTTTAGAAGTCAAAAATAATTTTTCAATTAGGGAAGAAACCCATTCATCAAACCCAAAGTGTATGATTCACAAAACTTCTAAGAAAGTCATGCCCAGTATCTAAGCTCTGTGGTTTTATACAATACAACAATGTTTTAAGTCTATGTTTTTCTAAGTGACCCTGGGGCGGGTCAAAAATCAACAAACTGAATGTAATATGAATCAGGTTGTTTTTGGAGGTCCACAAAGCTATTCTGCAAACAAAGTATGAGAATTATGGGCATTGTAGTTTTTTTCTCAAAAATTAGTCATAAATGTGTTTTTAAATAGATAACCTATATCAATCAGGTGACTCCCGGGAGGAGCCAATATTGATCCAATGGACATGATGAATATCACTTTAGTAGAGGTCTACATTGCAGTGCTACATGCCAAATATCGAAGCTTGTAGTTCCACGAACAGTACGAGGCACAAGTGTGTTTTTCTATATAAACCCTACGACGGGACCAATTTTGATAAGGAAAAATCTAAACCAGGCTTCCGCCCGTCATCTCATTATAATTAAAATTTCTTGGAAATATTTTTAATTTCCATCTATCGGTGCAAAAGATCTTGTGCGGACACGAAATTTTGTATTTTATACATGATGCTTAAGTGTGATCTTAACCTTGACCTGAGGAAGATACCGACCGCACGGACGCCAGGTTCATACAAATAGACGCAACAATATTTCGGGCGTATAATAAATAATAAACTGTTACACGATATTTGTACTAAAATATATAATATCACAATATAATTTCAACATAAGACTGTTTTTTATCATTTTTGGTAAAAATTTTGTTTTATGTATCCAAGTAACTATATACTGTTTCTAGATTAACAACACAATAGTACAACATTGATTAATACAGTCAAAAATATTCAATTTCTAATGTGTAAGAAATAAAAATAAATAAATAAATGTAAAATTTGATCTGCATATATAATCTTCACTGGGATTTTTGTTTTTCATAAAAAAGTATTTAAACAATTCATCACTGACATATTTCAAGATAGGAAGTCCTTTTGTAACCAAATAACTGCTTAACAAATATATTTGTTTTACCTTATCTGATAACTGTTATCAAATACCTATGATTTGATTATTCTCTTGGCACGCTGATGTATTCAGTTAAAGAAATATAAACAGTTTTGTATGTGCCTAAAATGTTAAGATTGTAAACATTAGATGTACATGTACATGTATTGTAATTACATAGTGAATTTCATTTTGTTCAAATTTTTGTCAAAAAAAACCTTACATAATACTTTAAATGTCTTAAATTTTCTTCAAGTCTGCCAAATGCATTAGATTCAAAGCATTCAAAAACTATACGCACCGTCAATATCTGAATATGTATATTTTATCCTAATTCAAATAATCTTTTTAATATATCTCATTGTTCATGACAAGATATGTTTTCTAGAATTCAAGAAAGCCTCGACTCAACACTGAGCTTACAAGTCTACAGATATGAAACTTTGCAGCGTTATTTCTGCCTCGTATTTTCAGTGATAACAGATAGCACCTTAAAGCAGCATCAATTCTGTTTTCTTGCTCCAAACACTGACCTAGAAGGTTAAGCGCTGTTTCTCTGTGTCCGAAATCTGGCTCCTCTACAATGCATTTAGCAAGGTTGGAAATTGCATCCTGTTTATCGCGATGTCTTCTGAGATGAAAATATGTCTTATACTGTAGAAAGTATATATAAGGTAGAGAATCTACAACAGCCAAATTCATCCAGTCATCATCGTCACTTCTATAAGGGAGGTCTTGCTGGGGTGATCTGAACATTTCATGTTGGAGTTCCTTCGGACAACAGTTTATTTCGCATCGTAGAAACCTGACACATGACGCAGTTATACTCTGTAACAATGCATATTCATTATTTGCTTCATAACATAATTTATTGAATGCCTGTTTGCGTTTAGATTTTTTAAAATCGTAGCACTGACATATTGATTCAACTACACTGAGATCATAATTTTCTTTAATGTTTTTCAAAATGATTTCTGCCCTCTCAATATCTCCAGTACAATATAAAATTGAGGCTAGTTTCAGCTTACCTGATGCTACATCAATGTTTAAACCTAACGTCATCAAAACGATAGACTCTCGACAGACACTGCGTTCACTTTGTATGTTTATAGAAGCCAATGCAGATCCTAAATGCATGCTTAGAAATTTAGCTATTGTAGTACATGCTAATTTATTGTGCCCTTGATTCATATCATGAGTTAATTGCATCAGGTATTTATATAATGTTTGCAAGAGAAGTCTAATGTGATTCATTTTATTCATTTCTTCAAGCAAGGCCGTGATTAATTCATTGACTTGGAAAGCAACATTTTTGACCAGTTGTCCTGACATCAAACACGACACATGTTCAGGAACGATCTTTACTAATCTTAAAAATGTGTTTTGAATTCTATTTCCAAGTTGATCACATTTTATTTCAAGTAAAGCATTTCCGTTACTGCTAATAATGTAACAAAGTCTATCTAGTATGACTTGTTTTGTTACTGGAGTAAAACGTCTCGCCATTAAATTGTTCTCTGGGATGATGAAATGCGGACAGTTATTATTTTGAACACAATTGTAAAGTACTCTAAGACAATAATTCAAACAGATAAGCAAGGTTTTTTCGTTCCAAGTATTGTTGTATGTACTTGAAATACAATGAAACATGACCGTTTTGCACATGTAACTGGAAATGCTGTCAGGGCATTGTGTAGTTATAAACGTTTTTAAAATCATTTTCATTAAGACATAGCATCTGATTTGTGTTATATTGAAATTGAAAATTAAGAATCTCTCAGCAAGGGAAGTAGATATTCTCCATTCAAGTTCTTCATTAACACTGTTTTTGCTACCAACTCCTACAACAAAACATTCCGTGCCTTTACAATACTGTCTCATATCGAGTGTAGGCCATGGACTTTCACCTTGCTGATTGATCCAGTGTCTAGCTTGTAATGGCCACTGTTGACAGGTCATTGCAAAGACAATGTCATAAGCAGAGAAACCAGGTATTTCATCCGATGATTGTGCTGGACCATGTCTAACACTCTCAACATCATCCGCTGGATTAACTATTGAATTTTTTAATAATACTCTTCCTTTACTATCTCTATACCAGCTTTGCTTATACACATTTTGTTCTGGAAGTGGAACATCATTTCTCAGTATCTGTAATAAGCAATATCCTGGTGATACAGTATCGTCCTGTATCATTAACAGGTTTTGTTTACCAGGTTCCCATTCACTCCAGTCCTGTATCACTTTGTGCCAGGTAAGTGTGCAAAGTATATCTTCGTCAGAATTAAGTCCAATTGTTGTTGTGCCCTCTACTCTACTACCTATGGTATAAACATTCACGTCTTCATCTGTAAATTGTTGTGCTATTGTTTGTATTGTGTCATTCATTAGCCCTAGTCGCCTTGTTTTTATCACCATTCTTTCGTTCACTCCTATCTCATCAAGTACTTTAGACAGTCTGAGTGACACGTTGCAAGTGTAATCAGGAATGTCAGACATCCTGTAATTTAATTTATGACTATTATTATCCTTATAAGTTAATAAATAGATAAAAAGCATGTCTATAATAAACTGTGAAAGTATTAAATGAATTTGTTTTCTTGAGATGTAAATTTCAGCACAACATGAATAATCAAAAGGTAAATTAATTGTTTGATATAATTTGTTTTATGGCACCTTTAAAGAATCTTTATATTTAGATATTTTCTTTACACAGATTCAAAGCATTAAACTAACCCTGACTTGAAATTGACACAATGGTGGAATTGATTTCTATTTCATTTGATCGTTAAATATAATATATGCTAAAAGAATAATAAAAAATACAAATCTTGAAAAGAAAACGATAAATATGGATATTTGTTTAAAAGAAAAAATAAGATAAATATTATATAATAACCCTCATTGCCATTACCAATTTACGATATACTTTGAATATAATTACATCCGAACGACCTTACTCATAATTTAAAATGTTTAAAAAAAGAACATCAAGTGATCAATAAAAAATGGTAAATTACTTGTATTATTTACATGATTAAGATCCTGTGTGTTTAGGACGGATAAGAAAATTCGAAAAAAAAATATTTCATGATTTATATTTGTATTACGCCTTCAATATTCTTGTAGACAACTTAACAAATGAAATAATTCTTCAACATCAAAGTAAAACAATTAATGCTATTTTGACGACATTCAGAAGAAAGGTATTGGTCAATTAACCTACATTAAACTTAAAAGTAAATATTGAAAACAGAAATTGATAAAAACATACCTTGGAAACTTCTCTATTTTCTAACAAAGTATTACAAGAATCACTGATGAGAGATATTACAAGATTCTCATTATTGCCTCTAGTTAAATTTCTTTAAAAAAAAATAGATGTCGTACCTAATCACATTAATAAATCTGAATAAACAATCAAGTGCACTCATTCTTTCATTAGATTTATTATAAACACGGAAGTTAATTTTTTATCTTTGCCCTAATGTTTTGACAAACGAGAATGTCTTTTTCGCATAACTAGGTCATCGATTATGTAAGCTAATTAAGTGAGTAAGCCATGTAAGTAAATAAGAAAAAAAATCAAAATTTTATTTGACAATAGCTAACCTAACCAGTTTGGTTTTTAAAACAGTCGATTAACTAGCTTACTAGCTTGCCGATTTACAAAGTACATATGTCATGATTCATTTGTAACTAAAATCCCATTTCTTAAACGCTTAAACATCTTTAACAGATACTTTCGATCCTACGTCACTCATTATGAACTTTTAAACTTTTCTGGGTGTCTCATCATTTCTCATTCATTAAAATCAATAATGAAATAAAATTGTGTAAATCTTAATACATACATGAAAATCAATTAATCGAAATAAATACCTGTTAAGCAGCTTGAAAACTTGAACATAAATTGAAAAAGAAACTAGGGGGAATTCCACCTTATGATAAAACTACGCATTTGGCAATCGTAACACCTCGATTATCAATTTCCGAAGATTGACGGAAAGGGTCGAAAATGTGCGATTAAACTGCGCGTGTTTACTTCCTTCTATTAAACATGAATTTTTCTCTTATGCTAGGAGAAAATATTTTACATTGCACATGCTTTTTAAATTTGTTAATTTGATTTTTTAGAGAAAAAAAACTAATTAAAACATTATGACATTAGGTGCTAAATGAGACAGACAGACACATTTTAGTCCCTAAATAATAAAAACAGCTCGATCATACCATGGGCCAAAAAAACGAAACATTCCATAAAAGACTACGCCGCTCAACAGCGTCTCCAATAAATGAATCTAGAGAGAATCAGACTATCTTGCCGATGAGTATCGTTGCCTGAACTGTAATAGAACTAAAAGAATAAGATTCAATTAATAGCATTTTGGAGACCGAATGTGCATTGTCTTTGTAAATGCTTTATTTTAGGTAAACAAGCATTTTAGTATAAATTCTGCCCTCCATATGATGTCTTATTTACAATATCTATTTGTTTAAATCAATAACTAAATACGAGTTGTTTAACTTTATTATCCTTTATAAAACGTAATCACAAATTACACAAACTTAAATTATTCTAATGCAGTTCAAACACTGGTACAGATATGACCCGATATAAGACAATTAACAGAGTCGTTATTACCCTAGAATGCTGACCTGAATACCTTTATTAGAATAGGTAATAGCTTCTCCGATTCATACAAAAGTATCTGGAAAACTGGTTATCATTCAGAAGCAAGCTAAACGCCAATATATCAAGTGGTTCAAATTTGAAAGAAAGTAAATCAAACTAAGCTATGTAAACTCTTTATCAAATAGGTAAACTCTAGACCCCGTAATTTCACACAGCAGATTAGTTCTGGCTTCCATAACTTTATATGTCGTTGTGCGAACAGGTTTAGCAGTACTATAAAACATGTCCGCTGAAGTCTCTTTAGCTAACAGCAGATATATGTGTGTAAACAATGTAGCATTCAATATTACACGACGGACAAGCCTTATAAATACTACATGCGAAAGATCGACACTCTACTACATGTATCTAACTTTTATTTAAATATCAACCTTAAAAAACTAACCCCAGCTCGAAACATTTTTAAAACAAATCCCTTTAACACACTGGCCATAGCTTTCGCAGAAGCGGTGGGTCTACCGGTGCGGCGATGGAGATTTCGTCGCAGAAGCGGTGGAAAAACATGGCTGTCGGATAGTTTTTTGCTGGTGTTGGTAAGTTTATGACTTATTTGTACGTTATGTTTTTATGTTCTACTGATAACACCTAGTGAGACTGGAGCCCACACATGTACTCTTCCAACTTATTACACGCATGGGGTGCAAATCATGACCAGTTATGCAAACACTTCTGTACAGTTTGACGAGGAGACGCCACTTTTGCCTAATTTTGTTTATAACACTTCATATGTACTCAAAACTACCCCTAGATACACTGGCACCGCATCGTATGTATGATAATTACACAAAACAACCATATTTTGGAACTTTTGGAAATTGATATTACTATTGTAATAAAAGAATTGACAAAAATTGATTACAACGCAGACGGCGGTGGATTCGATTGCAACGCAGTGCGGTGGGCCCGACATCATTTATGTCTTTTTTTTAACGTTAAAGTCACCGACACTTAGGAGTTGAGCTCCAAACACCTAAAAATACAAATGAAATATATATTTGTCAATCCTAACACATATAGTTGTTAAATATATCAATGAAAGTAAATATACGCTTTTTTGCATCATGTACCTTATAAATATGTTTTTATAAAACAATCCCTGTTTTAGACACTAGTTTAACATATTGGGGTGTATGTTAACTATGAAGTGCTTAAATGGTAATTTAACTTATAAATTGAATTAAAAAATACTTAAAGTTTGTATTTTCTTTACAAACTATGCATTCATTTAACTTATAAAATGTCTTGATAAATTAAATTCCAGTTTGGACACTAGTTCAACATATTGAAGTATATGTTAACCATATATAGCTTTAACTCGTATATTGAATTTAATCTTTCAATTTAACAAATCAAAATGTTTTTGTAGTTTAACACACATGAGTCATCATTAACTATGTATTACTAACACATTGGTCATAAATATATTTTGAACTTTATTTTTACTTATGATCAGTTTGTGATAAAATTTTAATACATTGATAAGATAAGATGAGATGAGATGAGATCTGTTGATAGTGACACTAACTTAAGCTTTATTGCTTTATCTATTTTCTTATTTTATTTATTTCATTTTTTTAAATATAACTTTACATGTTAACATTAAATTATATCAAATTTTTATTTAACGTGTACAAAGCTATAAATAGGCTGCATGTAATATAAAAAATTATAGAATGCATTTTGAAATAAAATATTACAATATACCTGACAAAAAAAGGTAGACGAAAATGTTGTTTATTGGCCTATGAGCGAATTGCACATGCACGCGTTCAAAATTATCGTATATTTTTGTTTGTAAATTGTAATTGTAATCTTAAAGTCAGAATTTAAATTGTCGCTCTTTCGTTTTCGTTGCTTTTCACGGTCTGTCGTTCCTCCTCTGGTTGGACAGTTTGGTGGTTTTTTGCTGTCCAACTTTGTGTCATCTATTATTATAACGTTTGCAACAATTGTTTTCTATATGAAAGCGTATTTGAAGTTTCTGATTAATCTTTTGATTATATCATAATCTATTCTTAGACAATAAAGACGTCTGGCTCTGCCAGACATTATCAGTCAAATTTCTATGTTTGTATTTTAACTCTACTGAGGATGACACAAATTAACAAGGAGGAACATGTACCGTGGTAAAGTAAAACATAAATACATTTCCAAACTTTTCATGAAAATATACATGAATATTGAGGCCTTAAAACCTAATAATTGTATTTTTATTAATTCCAGCCCATATACTTATCATATATTTCAATAAAACTTACATATATGTTGTTTTGAAGAAAAAGTAAATATCTATACGTCAAAAATATACACAAAATAAAAAAATGTGTTAGAAAAAAATCGCACATCCTTCAAATCACCTTCCAATTGATTCTATTTCCAATATTTTCCCATTATCCTTTTGTCAACAGGTGACACGAGTCATCTATTAAACATATATTACTGGTACTTATTATATATTTTCATCATATTTTCCTTTTTCAGAAATATCAAACTTCATCTTCAATATACAAACACACTATGAGAAAAAATTTAAACTATCGCCGATTAATTTATTTACAAAATATTTCAACAAATTCAAGCGTGGCACTCAGCTCTATCGTATTTAAATGCGGTGCGCTTCGAATGTGAGAACCCGCATTATCCCGAATGACTCCGATTATAGCAAGGCTGGTTCAAAGCGCATTTATATACAGCATATCTGAGAGTCATTTTGTTTTCAAAAAAGCGTATATTTACTTTCATTGATATATATAACAACTATATGTGTTAGGAAATATATATTTCATTTGTATTTTAGGCGTTTGGAGCTCAAGTAGACTTTAACGTTAAAAAAAGACATAAATGATATCGGGCCCACCGCACTGCGTTGCAATCGAATCCACCGCCGTCTGCGTTGTAATCAATTTTTGTCAATTCTTTTATTAAAATGGTAATATCAATTTCCAAAAGTTCCAAAATATGGTTGTTTTGTGTAATTATCATACATACGATGCGGTGCCAGCGTATCTAGGGGTAGTTTTGAGTACATATGTAGTGTTATAAACAAAATTAGGCAAAAGTGGCGTCCCCTTGTCAAACTGTACAGAAGTGTTTGCATAACTGGTCATGATTTGCACCCCATGCGTGTAATAAGTTGGAAGAGTACATATGTGGGCTCCAGTCTCACTAGGTGTTATCAGTAGAACATAAAAACATAACGTACAAATAAGTCATAAACTTACCGACACCAACAAAAAACTATCCGACAGCCATATTTTTCCACCGCTTCTGCGACGAAATCTCCATCGCCGCACCGGTAGACCCACCGCTTCTGCGAAAGCTCTGGCCAGTGTGTTTAAGGTAGATCCACAGAGAAGACTATGATCAATGGGAAATCATGCAGCATGGGGGGGGGGGGGGTTGCGGAGTGGTCAAGGTCATTGCCAAAACACACGCCTCTCATCGCTGTAGGCTTGCGCCGTGTAATTAAGCTATCCAACTAGTTTACGGGACGTCGATGGTTCTAATCAGGTGCTCGTTCGTGCCTGAAATAGCGCATAGAGCGGCACCTGAGGTCAGTCTCCACTGATAAAGCTGGAAATTTGCCATATTACCTATACTGTATGATGTGTGATGTAAACCCAATAACAAGAGGGCCATGATGGCCCTGAGGTCGCTCACCTGTATATAGGCCCCCCCCCACCCCCCACCCCCAACGTTGCAGGGCCAATTTAACCCAAGGGCTTTTATTTGCACAAAATTGGTAGACACCCATAAGAAGATGTTTCATGCTAAACATCTAAGCTCTAGCTCATTGGGCTTTTTAAAAGAAGTTTTTTTAAAGGTTTTACTATACACATATAGTTAAAAACAATGACACCCCTGGGGTCGGGCCAGTTTTGACCCCAGGGCTTCTATTTGAACAAACTTTGTAGACACTCACTCAAAGATGTTTCATGCTTTATATCTTAACTCTAGCTATTTGGGTTTTTTCAAAGAAGATTTTTTAAGTTTTTGCTATACACATATAAGGAAAATCAATGACCCCCTGAGCGGTGCCAATTTTGACCCCAGGGCTTTTATTTGAACAAACTTGGTAGACACCTATGAGAACATGTTTGATGCTAAATATCTTAGCCATAGCTCTTTGAGTTCTTTAAAAGAAGATTTTTTAGGTTTTTACAATGTGCATATAGGGAAAATCAATGACCCCCCGGGGCGGGGCCAATTTTGACCCAAGGGCTTTTATTTGAACAAACTTGGTAGACACTTATTAGAACATGTTTCATGCTAAATATCTTAGCTCTAACTCTTTGAGTTCTTTAAAAGAAGATTTTTTAAGTTTTTACTATATGCATATAGGGAAAATCAATGACCCCCTGGGTCGGGGCCAATTTTGACCCCAGGGCTTTTATTTGAACAAACTTGGTAGACACCCATTAGAACATGTTTCATGCTAAATATCTTAGCTGTAGCTCTTTGGGTTCTTTAAAAGAAGATTTTTTAAGTTTTTACTATACGCATAAAGGAAAATCAATGACCCCCCGGGGCGGGGCCAATTTTGACCCCAGGGCTTTTATTTGAACAAACTTGGTAGACACCCATTACAACATGTTTCATGCTAAATATCTTAACTCTAACTCTTTTATGGGTTCTTTAAAAGAAGATTTTTTAAGTTTTTACTATATGCATATAGGGAAAATCAATGACCCCCCGGGGCGGGGCCAATTTTGACCCCAGGGCTTTTATTTGAACAAACTTGGTAGACACTCACTAGAAGATGTTTCATGTCAAATATCTAAGCTCTAGCTCTTATGGTTTTTTAAAAGAAGATATTTAAAGTTTTTTCTTTCGGTTGCCATGGCAACCAGAGATCTGCATGGAATTAAATTTTTTGAACAATTTTAAAAGGTGACCACCAAAGAAACATTCCTGTGAAGTTTGGATGAAATTGGCTTAGTGGTTTATGAGGAGATGTCATTTAAAGTAAACGTTAACGGACGGACGCCTGACGAAAAGCGATCACAAAAGCTCACCCTGTCACTTTGTGACAGGTGAGCTAAAAATGTACAGTCCAAATTTCGTGTTCATACATGTGGGCTGGATGCATAAAAGTTTTTGCCGATGACGGAATCTCAGCGATCATAACAGCTTTTCGAAACAAATGTGCTAAAATTAGAATTATATAAACATTGATCTTTTTATATCTTTATAACATTTTGTATTATAAAAGACAGATGCTGACTTCATTTATATATTTTTTTGGACATCTTTTTTTTTACACTTGTGAGAATAAATTTCCAAAACAGTTATTCAATTTATATACTTTATTCATTAATAAACCACATAACATATCAACATATTAACATTATATCACAGACTTGTTTCACAATTATGCCACAAACATGTCATATACACAATATATCGTACATAAAATGAGGGACAAAAGAAGTATGTAACAGAGAATGTACGTTTTATGCTTGACAAAGAAAAAAATCATTAGAAAATTCATCAACCATTCTTTACTATCTTTTTTCAGATACAACTTGACCTGTGATGACAGTGTCAAACCAAAAGAGTTTGTGATTTATAAAAGATACTCAAGCCTACGCAGAATATATAATACTGTTTAAGTAAAGAATGCATAGTTGATAAATAAAGCTTTGGGACTTATGAACATATATTAAATTGTGTGATTCTATGGCTTGCACAATATTTTGACAGAAGAAGATTCTCTAGTGAAATAATTATATATTCTTATCATAATTATAAAGAAGCATATTTATCTTTTAAGCTACTGGTCATAACTTTTCACAATATCCTTTGTTCTAATTTACAGTATGACAAGAGCAAAGAAAAAAAATCTGGAAACAAAGTGATCCCTCGGAAGCATTAATCTAAACAAAATTACAAGAGAATTGCAGACTTGGTTTGATTGAGTCTGTACATAAGGGATAATGAATACGTGCAACATCCCTCACGTCCTCTAGCACTGGATTGAGCGGTACTCAATTCTCAACACTTAATAGTGCTGGCATCAATGATCCTGAAGGACCAGAAAAATATAACAACACTGAAGTGAAGTAGGGGGCAACTTTTTACAGCTGCCACACAGCACTTGAAACCTGCTGTTGTGAAGTATAAAAATCTATTTGAGAATATTTTTACCTCTTTTAAATTTTTTATATGGATTGTAAATGTCATTTGCACTGTGTAAATCACTTCAATTTTTTTTAACTTTAAAAATTCAATTTCAACATTTCCATGAAAATTAACATGAATCTATGGGCATGCTGCTTTTAAATAAAACATAATTCTTGTAAATCAACAATAACATGCAATTACAATGTTAATTAATATTCAAAAGAAATAAAGCAATGTTTCAAAAAGAATACCCCTAAATATATAAGTACATAATAAACATAAATTTTGAGTACATTATTCTGTAGTTTAAAGTGAGAAAAAAATGGATTTCAGTATCAACAGTATTCATGGCATTTCTTTACTAAAAGTGTTTTGTTTATCATTGAAACAAGAGGTATGTGATGGCACTGTATTGCTCACCTGAGGCATATTGCAGAGGAAAGTAATTTGGTCACTTTGGGTCTGTCATTTTTTAGTCATTATGAATAATTTATGAAATAGTTTAAAATGTAAACCATAATACATTTCAAATATTTAAGTTCTTCACACAAACAATATATACATGTAAATGTGTTTTACTCTATCTTATTCAATATAATGAAGATGTATACCAGAACATAATACACTATCTTATTCAATATAGTAAAAGATGTACATGTATACCAGAACATAATACATGATGCTAAATATTTATGTTCGCACACAAAGAGCATATAAATGTGATTGAATCTAACTTACTTAATATAATCTAAGGGTGGGTAAATTTCAATCCCAGGGGCATACTTAAAATAACTTTTGTACAGAACGACAAGGAGATTCTACCTGCCAGAGCACTTTGCACACAGATGAGCTAAAACAATTCTTAAGTATAAACACATTGAAATAAGAAAAATACATGTATATATTTAAAGTTTTTAGAACATCTTGAGATTTTCTGATTTAAAGACACTCTTTCTTAAAAATAAATTAATAAATTATATTATCAGTTTTACAGCTATCATTTCTGTACTAGTTATTTTATTTTGTTCATAGGAAACATATCTAAACTTTAAGTATACATTCACACAATCACAATGCACCATGATTTAACAATAAAAATATCAGATCTAAGCCATAAATAACAAATAAATACCAATCCATTTAAATCATCAATAATTGTACATACAAACACCATCCTTAAAGAGACAGTAATCTGGTCTAATAAAGCCATGCACAAAGAAACACACAGTATTATTGCACTTAATACATGTAAATTTAAATCCATAAATATTATGGGATATGAGGACAGGTTGGATAGTCTCCCTTGTATCAGTCTGTATATACATTTGTATATATATTATACACCAACAAAAGCATGTTATGATCTATTTTGCATCAAAATAAATTTATAGAAACCAGTATGTAAGAATTGATTTACAAAATACGATATCTTTTACCAGGTAATTGTAAACAAAAATTCTGTAAGTAACAAAGGGTAAACATTGTTTGCACTAGAATGTATTCAAACATATATTAATTATATTTAAAGAAAAGAAAATGAATTAGAAATCTAATTACAGCAATATATATATATATGTATCAAATGTATATATACAAATGCAATAATGTATTAATGATGTATTAATATGTGCATGTATGTAACGATGAACTGTAAATGTTCAAGTTAGATAAATAAATTTTCTGGGTTTTTTTGGTTCCAGTGACCTTACCCTATACTTTTTACGAAGTCTTATCAACTTTTTAACTAGCACTTATACAATCAGGGTGTTCTCTAGCCATGAAATCCTGAGGGTCATGTTGACTAAGTAGCATGTATCTAATAAACACACTGAGAAAATGGTTTGATGTGGTTAAACAATAATAATATAAATGCAAGAGCAAGTAAAATGAAAATAACTTTCCCAAAGAAAATTAAGTAAACAAAACAATTACAATACATTCATATCAGAGGTAAACAATTTTCCTGAATATCATACTAGAACTCAATATTTTCATTAAGAGTCAAGTACACCTGAAGGTTTTTCTTTTAGTAAGAGCTACAAGCTTTCCCATTTTGTATATATACTATATTATAGTATTTAGAAATAGTTCAAATACATCAACAATATTTGCAGCACCTCCTCATCTTTACACATGCTACGATTTTCATTAAACATTAAATTAATACAACTCAAATGCAATAAAAAAAAAATTGCTTTTCTTTAACGTCAAAAAATCTCAGCTGAGTCCCTTTAAGACCAATGTAGCACTTAAAAGACCAGGGCTAGCAGTTTAAAGACCCGGGCTAGCACTTTAAAACATAAACAACAGTCATTGGATGACTCACATTAAAATATCACAATAAGATATATTATAACAGATAGCAAAATAAATAATAATTTTATGTGATTAATTTCCCTAACATCATGGTTCGGCCTCCGCATATATAACACGCGAAGGTTTTGTTTTATTTGGTCTCCAGTTTGATATTTCAGGTAAAACTGATGCTGCATTTTCTACAGATGCTAACAAAAACTCGTCTAACGTTCTTTCAGTGCTCTCTGCTATAAATCTAATAAATGCTCTCAGATCTCCGAGGTTTCCTTCATTTAAAGTTTCATAATATCGTGCTCTATCTTCCACTTTAATAGTTACAGGCGGAAATCCTGCCTGCATTAGAATTAAGTTCATTAACAATCTTGAAGTTCGACCGTTTCCATCGTAAAACGGATGGATATAAACTAATTTGTAATGAGCTAAAGCTGCATACTCAACAGGATGTAAACTTAAAGCTTCTTCTGTATTTAACCAATTGATAAAATCTTCCATTAAAGCCGGCACGTCTTCCGGTGGTGCCGGAACAAAATCCGCAACAAAAACTTGTGTTTGTCTCAATCGTCCACCTTCAAGTGGGTCAACAAAACCTAAAACGCGTTTATGTATTTGTAATATATCCTCTAAAGTTATAGATCCAATGCGACCTAATAAGGTATTATTCACGTAACTTAGCGCAGCATCTAACCCAAGCACTTCCTGTTGTTCAACGAGAGATTTACCTCCAATAGCAATACCTGTTTCAACGATCGAACGTGTCTGTGCCAAAGTTAAAGTGTTTCCTTCTATTGCATTTGTGTGAAATATATGCTGATAATATGCTTCGCGTTTTTGTCTCCGTAAACCAGGATGATTATTCGGCACTTTGTACAATAAACTCAATTTCTTATCTATTGCATTATACATCCTTTGATCAATTTCTTCTACTAAAGGCAGCACTCTTTTTCTATTCTCCAATGCTTTTGAATGTTCAGGATTAAGTAACAAAGCTTTACTATACAATTGTTCAGCTTTTGCTATATCATTCTCATGATGTTCAAGAAATTCACCAAAAGCAGTTAGAATATCAGCATGAGACGGGTCAAGGTTCAACGCATGCTGAAATAGTTTCAAAGCCTTATCATGTTTTCCTTGAGCTTCCATATCCATGGCAATGTTCATGGCTGTCACAGCTTCCTGTTTTACCTCTGTAAATAGAAAATGGAATGAGCCATTAAGTTCTTTAGTATCAAAGTGAAACAAGAAATTATCCCTTAAAGGAACTCCACTGAGGTTTATAAGGCTAAAAACATAAAATTTCAATTTTTTTTCAAATAGATCGACACAAGCTGTTTAAAACAGAAATATAAATAAAATATAACTAAGAATTATACATTGAAAATCATATGTTTGTGCTATTCATAATAATTCTCAGTCCGATTTGAAATCTCAAAACCTCCGAGGAGTCCCTTTAACCTGCTGAATTTTGTAAATGGACATTTCCACAAAAGTTTCGAGTGCTGAAAATTCAAAAATTTTCCAACATTCAAGAGATAACTTTGTCCAAAATCATTGAACCACGACCAAATTCGAACTTGAACTGCTTAATATTTCTAAGATGTATCTTTATGTCAAATTTGAGTTGAATGTGTACACCATTGGGGAGGTAATGAGGGGAAACTAAAAATTTCCTTCTCTTTTTCTCAAAGTGAAAGGGGGCATAACTTTGCCAAAAATCATTGAACCATTACCAAATTCAAACTTGACCTGCCCATATCTTTAACAAATTCATATATGTCAAATTTGAGTTGAATGTGTAATACCGTTTGGGAGATAATGAACTGAAACTGAAAATATAATATTATTTTCAAAGTGAAAGGGGCATAACTCTACCAAAAATCATCGAACCATGATCAAATTCGAACTTGACCTGCGCATTCATTTGTCATATCCATATAGTAAATTTGAGTTGAATATGTATAACTAGATCTATTTGGGAGATTATGAACAGAAACTGAAAATTTAATATAATATTTTCAAATTGAAATGGGCATAACTCTTGTCAAAAATCATCGAACCACGACCAGATGCGAACATGACCTGCGCATTCCTTTGACATATCCATATGTTAAATTTGAGTGAATGTGTGATACTTTTGGAGAGATGAAAATTTCATCAAGGGGCATAACTCAGTCAACAATAATCGGAACAAATGATAACCAAATTCGAGATTGACCTGTATTTTCTCATGATATATCCATATGTCAAATTTGAGTTGAATGTGTGCAACGGCTACTATGATAAAGAAGGGAAACTGATGATGACAGAATGACGGAACAGGGGTATCATTCCCAGCCATTTTATGGTGGGGGCATAAAAATGTGAAAGAAGCCATATAGCTCAGTCAGTAAGGTCATGGAATGGTATATTCATTGGTCAATAGTTGTACGTTTTTTCTGACCCTGTGACATTTGACACCCAAGGGGGTACAGTGTGTGTTAATTAAAGCTTTAAGTTACTTTATTATGTCTTTAACGTCTGTCTACCTGGACTAAATGCATTGGGATTTTTCTAACCCTGTAAAAGTGAAAAAAGCAGACAGAATGCTTATAAAAATGAAACCTGAATTCTGTGGCATTGTTTGTTGTCTCGTTCGTTTAACGACAGATGTTCCCGTAGTTGTCAAAACTTTTGATGACGTAATCTGGTTATTTCCATCAAAAACAGAAACTAGGATCGCCGGCATGTATCGATATGTCATAAAATATGCTACTGTTAGTCCAGACAACATGAAAATCAATTGGAAAGACAAAATAGACATTTTGTTCTCTGATACTTTTTTAACTACAGGCCCCATTGGACCAAAAGACGGACTGACAGACGGAACTTTCTTCCTACAAGTTATCATGTTGTCAAAACTTAGGTCAAGGTTACGTTAGCCGGAAGCTCATTTGGCAACGTATGATTGGTCAATTAATCCCGGAAATGCCTCGTTTTGAAATCAAAGATGTCTGCGCCCATGGCCAAAACATGTCGTTTTAAACTATTTTAAGATTTACGTCTTTACATACGTCAAATAAACATGTCACTCTTTGCCGTTGAAAGGTAATCATAGGGGTTTACTGGACCAAGTAATTAGCCATTGTTTTTTTTATGATACTCTAGATAAAATTTGTAGCAAGACACTTCACCCTCCAGACACTTCACCCCTCAAATTTTGAAGACACTTAACCCCTTAAGACACTTCACCCCCCAAAATCAGTAAGACACTTCATCCAATTTTTTCTAAAATAAGCCATAAAAATTCTTTTATATCATGTGTTTATTTTAATTACAGTGCCAAACAAGAACTGGTACTGAAAATTTCGCTGATAGGTATAGATTTCTATATATTTTTTTTCTCTTTTTTTCTTTTTAAATTTACACAGTCATGTAGTCTATAGCGGGGCAAGCCAAAGCCGTAATATGAAATTAGGCAAAGCCTATGAACAGGGAAGTCGTTAAAAAAATCGTTTAATTCTTTCCATTTTAAAGGTGTCATTCGATATTACATATACACCGCTTCCGTTTTCACTGGGAACACTCGACGATTATTACTAATCCGAAAAGTTGAGATTTGTTCCGTTATCCGAATACCCCGCCTATTATCATTGACATACATTGTAAATGGCGGCGCCCGACTAGAACTGACACTGAAAATTTCATTGATAGGTATAGAATTCTATATATTTTTTAATTGTTTTTTATTTGATTTTCTTTTAAATATTCACGTGTAGTCTATAGCCGGGCAAGCCAAAGCCCGGACGCGCTTCGCGGGCCCGGTCTTTGACTTCCCCGTATAATCATATTTTTATTTTAATTTGCAAGTAATGAACCTAGATAAGCTAATGTCACAAATTTATTTTCTTACAACATCTGAACTGCCCATTTTACAGAATGAATGAAAGTTATAGCTGACTATGTCATATTATTTTAATATGAAATTAGGCAAAGCCTATGAATGGGGAAGTCGTTAAAAAAAAAATTCCTTTAATTTTTTTTCCGTTTTAAAGGTGTCATTCGGTATTTCATGCACCGCTTCTGTTTACACTTGGAACACTCGACGATTATTATGTATCCGAAAAGTTGAGATTTGTTCCGTTATCCGAATTCCTTACCTATTATCATTGAGTTACATTGTAAATGGCCGCGCCAGACTAGAATTGACACTGAAAAATTCATTGATATTTGGGACATACGATCATATATCCCAGTTGATAGGTATTGAATTCTATTTATTTTTTTATTGTTTTTTATTTGATTTTATTTTAAATCATACAATAGTAGTCTATAGACGGGCAAGCCAAAGCCCTGGGCCACAAATTCTTTGACTTCCCCATATTAATATTGATTCATTCTCCCATTATAATCTGTATTATATACCAAAAAAATGAATATTGTTATATTTGGGTATTTTGTGCTGCCGGTCCAAAATATATTAGGGTATTTGTACATCATTGATCAGACACTTCACCCCAAGCCAGTTTTTGAAGACACAGCACCCATCAAAAAAATGCAAAGCCTCAAAGCACGCTCGATTTTCTTATACCATGAAATAGCATATAATAATTGTTCATTTTTGTTTGACATTTACCGTTTTAAAAGTGTCATTCGGTATTTTATGCACAGATTTCATTTATTCTGGTTCCCTGTGACCTGTCCTATTATTGTTCCAATAAAAGTAAGCAGAACACCAGTCTACGCATTCATTTTCAATCAGAATTCCTTGGCTTGTATCGTTATTTTGTAATTCGAAAAGTTGCGATGTGTCAATTACAGTACTTCTGACAAAAGTTTTCAGATCCATTTATATCTATACCAAATTACAGTCAACTTGGCCCCAAGTTAACCCGGCCTCAAGTCAATTTTGCCCCACATTTTTATTTGTGGCAAATAACTAATAATAAAAATAGGGCCAGGTTGACCAGATATCAGATTGAATTGGGGCCGGATTGACTAATTTAGGGCCGGATTCACTTGAGACCGGGTAACGACTTGTACCGTCTATACCTTATTAATAACAGCGAATTTTTCACTATCATTTCTTGGCACCGTAACTCAATGATAAAAGGCTGGGTATTCCAACAATAAACCAAACTTTTTGACTTACAAGGTAACAATAGGAGCCAAGTAATGCTGGTTGACAATGGATGCGTAGACTGGTCTCCTATGGGAATTATAGGACAGGGAACCGAAATACATGCAAGCAGTACATAAAATACCAAATTACAGATTAAAATGTAAAATAGACCATGAACAATAATTTTACCAACTTCCACATTCATAGGCTTGCCTAATTTTGGTTTATGAAATAAGGTGCTACCTATGACACTTTTTAGCTTGACTGCACGAAATATATGAAGAGCTGTCCTACTTGCCCCGGCTCCCGTGTCCAGATTTCAGATTAATGTTTTGGTGCAGTAAAATATTTCCACTATAACTTTTTCATTACTTAAGGTATCAACTTAAAACTTCAAATATATGGTCCTTATCATCAGCCACATCTTAAGTGACAAGGTTCATAACTCTAGCACCAATATTTCTAGATTTATTTCCCCTTGAATGTAGAATTTTCCGAAGAAAATATTATTTTTTACGGTTACTTCTTTATTTCTAAAGGGATCAACTTCATACTTCAAATATATGTTCCTTATCATCAATTACATCTTCTGTGATAAGGTTCATAACACTAGCACCAATATTTTCAGATTTATCTCCTCTTGATCTTAGAATTTTCCTTAAAAAATATCATTTTTTACTGATTATGCTTTATTTTTTAAGGGATAAAGTTTTTACTGTTACTTCTACAACTACAACTTACCTGTAGTAAAATGAACTCTTGAAATTTTAGTACATCATTTTTGGATCTTCATATATCTATCAACAACAAGTCTATTCACACGAAAATCACTGATAAAAGGATGGTTTTGACTTTTGTATAGTTAACAATCATGTCCCGACTGTAACTTTGTCTTGCATTGAGGGATTTTTAAATAACTTGGCACAAATGTTTATCTCATGACAACATTGTGTCGAGTCCAAGAACCACATCCTTTATTCAAAGGTCAATGTCACACTTATATTTTGCTATCACAATTACAGGTTATAGGTTATATAGGTACCCACATTTGTGTACGGACTATAACTTTGTCATGCATTGAAGAGTTTTACGATAACTTGGCACAAATGTCTACCACATCAAGATGATTGGCTATACATATCATCAGCTAAAATTGGTTGTATTTTTGGCTTGTAGATTAAAATATCCCACATGACCCCTGGGTTAATCTGTAGGCACATATCATATATGTTGCTTCAGATAAAAATGAAAACCCTGTAATACACATGCATGGGTATTGCCACTGTTGTGTATATATGTATTTTGCAGCTGATGTTAACTTATTATGGTCAGTTCATTCTTTGTTTCCCACTGTCTAGAATCTACATATTAAAGCAGCACGCCTCCAGATTTATGCTTATTTTTATGAAAATTTTGAAATTGAAATTTAAGGTATTAGCACCCTAATGCATTACCTCCGCTTTGAAGAGTATTCAAATAGGCTAGAATTACTGTTAACTACATTGAAAATGAGGGCCATGGGTTCAATCCCCAGAAGGGTCAACTTTTTTTTTCTTTCTTTTTTTTCTTTTAACATTATTTATGTATCTCTCATGTCCCATATGGAAAGAAAAAAGTGTTTAATTTTGAATTTTTTATTTATATAGGTATTTATTGGCTAAATTATGCTAAATCTAGTAATAAATATGGTACCTGACATTTTCAAAGTGTAATATAATCAAAACTAGACGGTAAAAGTATTTCATATTTTACAAGATCAACCAATATACTTTTTTAAAAATTTAGGGAAACTTTGAAAACAGGCACTCATTTGGGTAAATTTTAAGAATTTTTTGAATTAGGCTCCCTAAGTAGAAAAATGGTCAGACATGTGGTAAAAATGGGTGGGGTAGGGTAACATTTTTATACAGATTTCATAAATTTTAAGTAGAAACCATAATTTTGCTTATGTGGATTGTTAGCTGAATGGTACTATTTGTTTCTTACCAAAAATTCATGGGAAAACATTTTTCATTAGAATGTTATTGCAGATTATTTAAAGGTTCCTCATTTCTAAAAAAGGGCCCTCATAACATCCTAGCTTGAGTTCAGAAAAGTGGCCATAACTTGATTTCCGTACGGTAAACTTTGTTTAAATTTTGCATACAGGTGTACTTTAAGGTATACATCTGACCTATGATGTCAATTCTTTAGTTCCTGATAGCAGCGCCCATTAGGGTCCTAATACCTTAATGTATAATTATAATATATAGTAATCAAAAGCAAGCAATTTATACAATTTCAATGTCACTTATAACCCACGATAATTACAAAAAAGGGTCAAAATATTTTTCGCTCATTTGGATGCATGCTGCTTTAATACATTTATGGTATTTAGAGTTTGTTCTTTAATAAGTATTATGGATATTTTAGGTACCTTGGAGATGAATCAGAAGAAGATGTTAATAAGAACCAAGCGTCAGATATTCTAGAAAAGTTGCAAAAAGAGGCAAAAGCTAGGAGAAAGAGTCTAAAGAAAAAAAATGACACAAACGATGTTAATAATGTTACTACAGTGACCATATCAGAAGAAAGTGAAAATGAACATGAGGAATTTCATGAACAGAAAAAACAAAAGAAGAAAAAGAAAGCTAAAGAAAAAGGAAAGGACAAAGAATTAGAAATATCTTTAGAAATTCAACTTGAGGAGAATGATGACTTAAATATTGTGAAAAAGAAAAAGAAGAAGAAAAGGAAACATAGTGATACAGGTATTGCAAATGGTAGTGTTGGTACTGATGAAACAGAGTATGACACACCTTTGAAGAAAGGAAAACTTGGAGAAGAAACAGAACAAGTTGAGAGTGAAACTAACAAACATGTTAAGCACAAAAAACATAAAAAACAAAAGCACAAACATGGTTCAGATCTTGATGAAGAGGGAGATGCAATAGTTAATGATATGGACATAGATGTAGAAAAGAACATTGCTGAAAATGATATTACTGAGGTTGACGAGAAAGTGGATTCTGAAGATGAAGTTGATAAAGATGAAGTTGACAAACGGCCATATGTGGGAACAGAAAAAGAGACAGAGATTGGAGGTTTTACTGTCATTGGAAACGTTCGTCCTGCTCGATTAGAAAAGGTAAATTTTTGTAATTCTGACATTTCTTCATCATTAAACATCTTTGTCAATTAGTGACCTTAATAGGGCACTAATTGATGATAGAAATATAAGAAGTTCTCAAAGTATACTATACATGTAAATGCTACATATGCTGTATAAATGACGAAATAAACATTGCTTATTTAAGAAAAAACATCGGCCTGAGAAGTGTATATCGGCTATTTAACACCGGTTTGGAGTTTTGATGCGCAGGAATTGACCACGAAGGCCGTAGACCTGAGTGGTTAATTTGCTCGCATCGAAACGACAAAACCGGTGTTAAATAGCCGATATACACCTCTCAGGCCGATGTTGTTTCGATTCTAACACAATAAAATAAGGAAAATCACTAATGTTATTTTTCAAGCGGAAATAACTTCTGGTGCCAGTCTTCGTATAACGCTGTTCGATTTTCGCACCTTACTGTTGTGTAGAAATTATTAAACAAAAGAAATAATAAGAAAAAACGTTATTTTATCAAGTTTTCAACAATAAAAACTTACGTCGTATTGTGAGTGTCCCATTTATCATTCTTGTATGTATGAAATAACGTCAGCTTGTTTATGAATGAGTTGTTTACTTAGGATGACGTCAATGCGCTGCTTATACGGATTGGCGCCGTTTTGTCAAAATATTTATTAACTGATATGGATCTAATATGTGGCGTTAGTGTATGTAAGATATTATTTCGGTATTGTATGAAAAGAAAACATTATACGAACTAAAAATATAAAAAAAAATGCTTTTTATTGTTGCTTTAAAATGCTTTGTAAACTATACAATCGAGGGTGAAAACAAAACAGCGCATATACAAGTAGTCCCTTACCGGTGTTTATTGGCAGTTTAACACCAGTTTTTTTTCCTTCTTTGTCTATCGTGACAAAATCACGTGAGTGTTAGAATTCATATTATTCATGTTGCTGAGAACAATATGAAGGAAAACCTGGTTGATGTAATCAAACACATGTGTATGTTACTTTGTACATGTACAGGGATAAGGGATTATTTTTGGCTTATTTTATAGCCCTGCCCCATATTCGGTCATATTCCCAATTAAAAATAGTATATTTTTCCTAATCCACTGGAAAAAATTCCCAATTGAAAGTTAAGAACAAAATAATATCAAATTCTAAAATCTTTGAAAATAGGGCTTCTCTACTATTTTAGAGCTTAAATGTTAAATATGCCATTCCAGACAGTGATTCTTTGCATTCAAGTTATCACTGCAAAATTTAAGTCATGCATTTTTTCCCAATTTTGAACAAAACATTGGGTCATGTTCCCAAATCCTGGGAAAAAAAACCTGATGTAGTGTTACTTTGTACATGTAATGTCAGAAGAATTTGACACTGGAGGACAATCAGAAGGGCCCTCATTTCACAATTGTTGTGGCTGAATTCGGCCTTATTCCCTGCAATCCAATCTCAATTAATATAAGTTACAGTGATGGAGTCAGATTTGACTGTAAAATTTATTCAAATGTGATTTGTGAACCTTTATACATTTCTTAAAATTATGGTTATATTTTTCTTCAGTTTTCTTGTATAACCATTTATTCTAACACGAACCGCATTTTTTCCCTATTGAATATAGAAGAACCAAAAATGCAATAAAATCACTGTTGACATTCTATATTAAGATATGTGACGTAATCATTATACATGTGACGTCACATACCAGAAAAAAATGAGTGGAAAATAATTATGGAAACAAATCAGGCACAATTTTGCTTTATATCAGGTACGGCAGCATTTATATATTGATGTCGTGTTAGAATCAAAATGATATATTCAAATCCATGATTTTATCGCTGGATAACATCACTGTTGGTTGTTCGAACGCATCATTATATCACTCGGGGCTATGTCTTCGTGATATAATTCCTCGCACCAGAACTCCAAACAGTGATGTTATTGAGCGATAAAATCACTGTTTGGGATATATTATTTCTTAAATAATTTATTTATTCATTAAAGGCATGCCTCTTAGATAATAGGCATGAATTGATTTTTTTATTTTGTAGGTGAAGCGTGTATTACCAGAATGGTTGTCAAGTCCAAGTATTATATCCTCAGATTTGGGCTCAGATAAATTACCTATCTCAGACATGCCAGGCCTAGCACAAGATCTAGTAGAAAAGCTGAAGGAAAATAAAATTACCCATTTCTTTCCAGGTTTAATATTTTTACTTATTTACACATAATATTAATCAATTTTACATCAATTTTATTGCAGTCATATTTAGGACTGTAAGACATGTAAGAGTTAATTGAAATTAAATTAATAACTAAGAAGAAAGAAAGAAAGAAAAAACAAACAAATAATGAAAATAAATAACAATATAATTATTTGTGATATAACTTCATATAAGATGAAAATCAGTTTCCTTTAAATTTATTTAAATGCAGGTTTAAAGATATATAATGCTCAAATTTGATATAAGACTGTAAAGACAATATTGATAGTTGCTACAGTGTTTTTGTAAAAATTATAAGAATAAATATGTATTGACTTCACACATAGTATATCTTTAAAGTTTACACACTAATAGGTGGTATTTAATAGTGTCATTATACCCCCAAAAACGAAGTTTGGGGGGGGTATATAGGAGTCACCCGGTGGTCGGTCGGGCGGTTGGTCGGTCGGTCCAGACGTCCGTTGCATTTTCCTTGTCCGGAGCATAACTTGAAAACTAATGGTTGGAATTCAATATAACTACATACAATGGTCAAGCACATTGAGAGGAAGTGCAGTGCACAAGAACCATAGCTCTATCATGACTAATTACAGAGTTATTGCCCTTTGTTACTTTTCCTTGTCCGGGGCATAACTTGAAAACTACTGGTTGGAATTCAAAACAACTTCATACAATTGTCAAACACAATAAGGGGAAGTGCAGTGCACAAGAACCATAACTCTATCTAAAGTATTTACAGAGTAATTGCCCTTTGTTGCTTTTCCATTGCTTTTTTTTTGTCCGTTGCATTTTCCTTGTCCGGAGCATAACTTGAAGACTAATGGTTGGAATTCAATATAACTACATACAATGGTCAAGCACATTGAGAGGAAGTGCAGTGCATAAGAAACATAACTCTATCTTGACTAATTACAAAGTTATTGCCCTTTGTTACTTTTCCTTGTCCGTGGCATAACTTGAAAACTACTGGTTGGAATTCAAAACAACTTCATACAATTGTCAAACACAATAAGGGGAAGTGCAGTGCAAAAGAACCATAACTCTATCTAAAGTAATTACAGAGTTATTGCCCTTTGTTGCTTTTCCATTGCCTTCTTTTTTTTGTCCGGACCATAACTTGAAGACTAATAGTTGGAATTCAATATAACTACATACAATGGTCAAGCACATTGAGAGGAAGTGCAGTGCATAAGAACCATAACTCTATCTAAAGTAATTACAGAATATTGCCCTTTATTACTTTTCCATTGCTTTCTTTTGTCTGGACCATAACTTGAAGACTAATTGTTGGAATTCATTATAACTTCATACAATGGTCCAGCACATTGAGAGGAAGTGCAGTGCACAAGAACCATAACTCCATTTTGACTTATTACAGAGTTACTGCCCTTTGTTCCTTTTCCTTGTCCAGAGCATGACTTTAAAACTACTGGTTGGAATTCAAAACAACTTCATACAATGGTCAAGCACAATAAGTTAAAGTGCAGTGCACAAGAACCATAACTCCATCTTGACTAATTACAGAGTTATTGCCCTTTGTTACTTTTCCATTGCTTTCTTTTGTCCGGAACATAACTGGAAAACTTATTGTTGGAATTCATTATAACTTCATACAATGGTCAAGCATATTGAGAGGAAGTGCAGTGCATAAGAACCATAACTCCATCTTGACTAATTACAGAGTTACTGCCCTTTGTTACTTTTCCTTGTCCAGAGCATGACTTGAAAACTACTGGTTGGAATTCAAAACAACTTCATTCAATGGTCAAGCACAATAAGGGGAAGTGCAGTGCACAAGAACCATAACTTCATCTTGACTAATTACAGAGTTATTGCCCTTTGTTACTTTTCCTTGTCCAGAGCATAACTTGAAAACTACTGTTTGGAATTCAGTACAACTTCATACAGTTGTCAAGGTCATTCAAAGTAAGTGCAGTGCACAAGAGCCATAACTCCATTTTGACAAAATACAGAGTTACTGCCCTTTAATACTTTTCCTTGTCCGGAGCATAACTTAAAATGTACTGGTTGGAATCCAAAACAACTTCATACAATGGTCAAGCACAATAAGAGGAAGTGCAGTGCACAAGAACTATAACTCTATCTTCAGTATTTATAGAGTTATTGCCCTTTGTTCTTTTTCTTTGTCTTCTTGGACTTATTACAGAGTAATTCAATTAAACTTCATCAATGGCCAACCACATTGAAAGGAAATGCAACATACATGAACCACAATTATCTTTAATTGCCCACAACCATAACTCTATGTTTCAATTCTTTTACAAGGTATTCTGTTTCTAGTAACATCCTCATTTCCGAAGCAGACTTGTGGGGGTATTAATCACATTTAGTGATAGTTCTAGTTAAATTTTTTTTAGGAAAATACCAACTTAAAATGATTAGTAATAGAGAGCACAGCTTCACAAACATACTTTATTAATTCCTTTATCTAAATTAGACATATTCAGTAAGAATTTATAGTTTTCAGTAAATTTCTTTGATGAAAATAATTTACTCCAGGATGAGCATAGTATATCTTTAAATATTTGTTAAGATTCAAATATTTCTCATGTTTCTTATATTTTGTTTATTTTTCAGTCCAGAGACATGTAATTCCTGCCTTACTGGAGTCCAGCAGTACAGGTTTTCATATAGGCAGAGCAGGGTACCGACCAAGTGACATCTGTGTATCCGCACCAACAGGAAGCGGAAAAACATTAGCTTTTGTTCTACCAATTATTCAGGTATTTTTTCATCACCAACACCTTCATTTTGTTTTGTTAATTATACATGTAATAGGTAAATAAATAATACGTGATACTTTGTTAGTATCAGTAACTGTTTGACATACGAAAACATATTTGAAAGATAAATGAAAGTTAAATATATGATAATATGTATAAAAATAAAATGCTCATGCATGTATGAAAGTGAGTTACAAATGGTGTAACAGAAGGAAAGGCAGATAACCAGTTTATTGTAAATATATCCAGTGTTATTGTCATGTGACACAGGGTCACAGAAGTTTTACTTTGACACATCAAGAAAAACGTTTTATCGAGGTTTGACTCATAGAAGTTCTTCTGTAGATCAAAATGACCCAACATAAGCATGTCAAGGTCAAGGTCTGGATCCATGCTGGTCGCAAACCCATTATGTTGGTTTTGTCATGACGCGGCTAATATTTTGGTGTAGAGAATTGGAGCAAAGTGAACAAACTTTGTTTTGTAAGCTATGTTTTCTTTTCAAAGCAACCATGTAAAAAGTATATTTTATTGTAGCCAATTGAAACAATGTGTACTAAATTTCTTATAAATTATTTCTGTACAGGGACTGAGGTCAAGAGTAACATGCGAAGTTCGAGCCCTAGCAGTGTTGCCAGTGAGAGACCTAGCAACCCAGGTATTCAAAGTCTTCCAGACCTACTGTGAAGGTACAGATCTGAAGGTATGATTCTGTAAAATGCTGTGTAGGTAAAAAAAATTAAGATATTTTCCTTGAATATCAGGCATTTTACAATTTTACATGTTTGCAGTAAATTTTACTCTTTACCTATATAGAACTTCTGAAAATAAAACTAAATTTTAAGGTTTTCAGGGATGATGATATTTAATCTTTCAGTTAGCATAAAGGTGAAATTCATTCTGCCTTTTGTATGTGTAATAACATGTAGTTTGTCAACTCATATATAGTCAGGGTTTTTTTGTTGTTGTTTTTTATTTTTTTTGTAAAGTGTTTTTTTCTCACTCTTTTGGAAACAGGTCTGTTATGTTTTAATTTGGAAAAAAAAACTCATGAAATTGGTGAATTTATAGATAATATAGCCAAAATATGGATTTTCTGGGTACTATTTTGAATGCAAAAAATTAAAAAATTAATGTTTTAAGTCTCTTCACCCTCATTGTAGCTTCTTTAAATAAACATGTTTTTTTTTTCATTAACAGGTTGGTTTGATGATTGGTCAGAAGACATTGCTTGCAGAACAACAGTCACTCGTCAAGAAAAGGTTTGTTATTAGAACTTTGTAGAAATGTGAAATATCCAATTCTTTAAATATTTTTTTTTTAGGTAAGGAGGCTTATCTGAACAGATGAGCTAATAGGGTCAAATACAAGAGGGTATAGTATTATAAAGGTTACGTGACATATGTAAAAATAGATCGACAACAGTGATTTTATTCACAGGGACCTGGCACAGTGTTGGGGAAGAGAAAAAAGTAATTCTAGAAAAAATATATACACTGTATATATAATATATAGACTATATACATGTACAATATAAATATTTTTTTCTAGAATTACTTTATACACTACCCCAACACCGTGCTGGGTGCCTGTGAAATTTTGTTATATATTTACACACAAGTTTGGTCCTTCTATGTTCAATAGGAATGTGTTAGAATATATACAATCATTTTCAATACCCTATACTGTAGATGTAATTTTATACTATAGTAATACATTCACATTTGTAGTTGTTTCAGGTGGTATCATGATCTGTCATATAAATACATGTATATTTATACAAGTATGTTTACTGTATCCTAGGTTACAAGGATATCACAGTATGGTTGATATAATTGTTGCAACCCCTGGCCGTCTTGTTGACCATATTAATCAAACAGAAGGCTTCAATCTGGGACATCTTCGATACCTGGTTTGTATCTAGATTAACTTTTTTACAATTTAAAGAAACACTTATAGAAAAAGATTATATCCCTCTACCCCTGTCCTATGGTTTTTCTCCTCTTAAAGCTTGTACATGTGGTTACATGGCAAAAGTAATGTAAATGCGACTAAAACCACAAAAAAACTTGAAATAAGTAGAAAAATAGTTTGTTTTATGTGTAATAATTAAATTATTTTTCACTTGTGAAGACCAGATCGTACATTTTGGCTTATGGCCTCGCGACTCATGAAAATGTTGCGGCTGATGTGCACTGATTGAAAAATATTTTGATCATGCATGCAAAGCAAACAGATATCGTTTATTTAATGTCAAAGACACATGATGATACATTACAGCTCACCATAGGCTTATTCTATTATACTTAAATTTACTCAATTAACTTCTGTTTTAAATAATATTTCTTGATTTCGGTTAACATGTCTTATTAGTTATCTAAGGATTGCGGGCCGTATGGGTTTAAACCTGATCAGGGGCAATACGTTGTTTCCTTGAGCATGAAACTGTATATTCATTACTTAGTACTGGTTGGTGCCAGGAACGGATTCTAGAGTGTTTAAATAAGCTTATAGCTTCCAACACAATCGAACTAAAATACTTTCGTATAAATTTAAAATATGAGTCGCGTCATGATAAAACCAACATAATGGGTTTGCGACCAGCATGGATCAGACCAGCCTGCACGTCCGCCGATCTGATCAGGATCCATGCTGCTCGCTATCAGATTCTCTACTTGTTATAGTGTTTGTAAGCGAACAGCATGGATCCTGATCAGACTGCGCTGATGCGCAGGCTGGTCTGGATCCATGCTGGTCGCAAACCCGTTATGTTGGTTTTGTCATGACACGGCTCAATTTTCTTTGATATGCTCTATATAATCTACAGGTGATAGATGAAGCTGACAGAATGATGGAGGAGATAAAACAAGATTGGTTGATCCAGGTAGAGAACTCCGTGTATAGATGTCGTCCCCGGCCGGGACCTCTTACCGCGTCTTATTGTCAGAGGATGGAAATGCCAGTAATGTTTATACTTACATGTTGTATTCTTTCACTTTAATGTTTTACATAAAGAATGTTGTACCTCAAATTTAGAGGTAAATAAAGAAATATATTATGACACATCAGCAGGGGCTTAGTGTCGGGTGATTTATTTATCAACTGGTTTCAGTTCTACAGTGAACCTCGAGAGTGGCTAAATGATTAAAGCGTCAGACTAGTCATCTAAGGATTGCTGGCCTCATTTGATTAAATCCTTTCAGGGGCAAGCCTTTTTTAGCTCACCTGTCACAAAGTGACAGGGTGAGCTTTTGTGATCGCTTTTCGTCCGGCGTCCGTCCGTCCGTCGTCCGTCCGTAAACTTTTGCTTTAAATGACATCTCCTCATAAACCACTGAGCCAATTTCATCCAAACTTCACAGGAATGTTCCTTTGGTGGTCACCTTTAAAAATTGTTCAAAGAATTTAATTCCATGCAGAACTCTGGTTGCCATGGCAACCGAAAGAAAAATCTTTAAATATCTTCTTTTAAACAACCCTAAGAGCTAGAGCTTAGATATTTGGCATGAAACATCTTCTAATGAGTGTCTACCAAGTTTGTTCAAATAAAAGCCCTGGGGTCAAAATTGGCCCCGCCCCCGGGGGGTCATTGATTTTCCCTATATGCATATAGTAAAAACTTAAAAGATCTTCTTTTAAAGAACTGTAAGAGCTAGAGCTAAGATTTTTGGCATGGAACATCTTCTAGTGAGTGTCTACCAAGTTTGTTCAAATAAAAGCCCTGGGGTCAAAATTGGCCCCGCCCCGGGGGTCATTAATTTTCCCTATATGCATATAGTAAACACTTAAAAAATCTTCCTTTAAAGAACTGTAAGAGCTAGAGCTTAGATATTTGGCATGAAACATCTTCTAGTGAATGTCTACCAAGTTTGTTCAAATAAAAGCCCTGGGGTCAAAATTGGCCCCGCCCCAGGGGGTCATTGATTTTCCCTATATGCATAAAGTAAAAACTTAAAAAATCTTCTTTTAAAGAACCCAAAGAGCTAGAGCTTAGATATTTGGCATGAAACATCTTCTAGTGAATGTCTACCAAGTTTGTTCAAATAAAAGCCCTGGGGTCAAAATTGGCCCCGCCCTGGGGGGTAATTGATTTTCCCTATATGCATATAGTTTAAACTTAAAAAATCTTCTTTTAAAGAACTGTAAGAGCTAGAGCTTAGATATTTGGCATAAAACATCTTCTAGTAAATGTCTACCAAGTTTGTTCAAATAAAAGCCCTGGGGTCAAAATTGGCCCCGCCCCAGGGGGTCATTGATTTTCCCTATATGCATATAGTAAAAACTTAAAAAATCTTCTTTTAAAGAACTGTAAGAGCTAAAGCTTATATATTTGGCATGAAACATCTTCTAGTGAATGTCTACCAAGTTTGTTCAAATAAAACCCCTGGGGTCCAAATTGGCCCCTCCCCAGGGGTCATTGATTTTCCTTATATGCATATAGTAAAAACTTATAAAATCTTCTTTTAAAGAACCCAAAGAGCTAGAGCTAAGATATTTAGCATGAGACATGTTCTAATGGGTGTCTACCAAGTATGTTCAAATAAAAGCCCTGGGGTCAAAACTGGCCCCGCCCCGGGGGTCATTGATTTTCCTTATATACATAGCAAAAACTTAAAAATCTTCTTTGAAAAAACCCAAATAACTAGAGTTTAGATATTAAGCATGAAACATCTTTAAGTAAATATCTACAAAGTTTGTTCAAATAAAAGCCCAGGGGTCAAAACTGGCCCTGCCCGAGGGGTGTCATTGTTTTTTACTCTATGTGTATAGTAAAAACTTAAAAAATCTTCTTTTAAAAAACCCAATGAGCTAGAACTTAGATGTTTTGCATGAAACATCTTCTTATGGGTGTCTACCAAGTCTGTTCAAATAAACAAATAAAAGCCCTTGGGTAAAAATTGGGCCGGGGGGGGGGGGGGGGCTATATACAGGTGAGCGACCTCAGGGCCATCATGGCCCTCTTGTTTCCTTTAATAAAAAACTTACACTTATTGTTTAGTACTAGTGAGTACCAGGAATTGAATGGACAGTGTTACAATAAGTTTATAGTTTCCAACAATATTGAATTACAAATAAAAACATATGAGCTGCGTCATGACAAAACAAACATAATGGCTTTGCGACCAGCATGGATCCAGACCAGCCTGCGCATCTGCGCAGTCTGATCAGGATCCATACTCTTTGCTATCAGTTTCTCTACTTGTTATAGATTTGTAAGCGAACAGCATGGATCCTGATCAGACTGCGCGAATGCGCAGGCTGGTCTGGATCCATGCTGGTCGCAAACCCATTATGTTGGTTTTGTCATGACGCGGCTCATATTAACTAATGCGCCTCCATCAAATGTACCTGTAAGTAAAAGTAGTCTTTTGAAAGAGAAAAATGTTGTTAACTTTTTTCAACAATTTTTGTGAAAGTGAATTGGTTAACAATATAAGATTTGTAAAACTATTGATGATTATGTTGGTAATATTCACAAAAATTTAAAATTAATATTCCACATGTCCGCATGTAATTACAAGTAGAATTTAAGAGAACTCTATGCAGAACAAGTAGAGAAATGTTGTCTACACATTGGATCTAGAAACTACTTGTCCTGCAGAATGAGTGACTGAAAATATTTTTTTGATGCCCGATTCAGTATCATACAGTTGTACATAAAAAACAATAATTATTATTATAAAGTTATTCAGTCTCTTGAAATATTATTACACTTTTATTTCTAAATTACAGTTACAGAAACTTCTATACTCCGCAACTTTGTCACAGAATCCTGAAAAACTTCAACAGCTGAGTCTGTTCCAGCCAAAGTTGTTTACATCTGTTGTCAAAACTGGAATAAAACCATCACAGTCTAAAACATTCAACGAAAGACAGGACAGTGGAGATAAACTGGCAAAGAGATCTGTTGATAAGGAATCTGACAATGATGCTGATTTAGAGAGTGACTCAGAAACAAATAATGTTGACAATAAACCTGAGGGTAATATATTTAAGAAATAATATCGGTCTTAGCGTTGTTAATCAGCGTTGTTAATCGGCTATTTAACACCAGTTTGGAGTTTTGATGCATAGGAATTGACCACAAAGGCTGTAGGCCTGAGGGGTGAGTTTTTTCGCGTTAAAACGACAAAACCTGTGTTAAATAGCCGATAAACACGGCTAAGACCGATATTATTTCAATTCTAACATGATAAAATAAGGAAGATTGTGTTTACATCAGTGCCCCTTTTATCATTCATGTATGTATGAAATAACGTCAGCTTGTTTATGAATGAGTTGTTTACTTAGGATGACGTCATTACGCTGCTTACGGATTGGCGCCGTTTTGTCAAAATATTTATTAACTGATATGGATCAAATATGTGGCGTTAGTGTATGTGAGATATTATTTCAGTATTGTATGAAATAAAAAACATACATTTGTAATAAGAACTGAAAATATAAATAAAATTTCTTTTTATGGATGCTTTAAAAGGCTTTGTCAACTATATAATAGAGGGTGAAAACATAACAGACGCATATCCAAGTAGTCCCTAACCAGTATTTATTGGCAGTTTAACACCGTTTTTATCCTTCTTTGTCTATAGTGACAAAATCACGTGGAGTGTTAGAATAGATTATTCTCCTTTACTTTTTTTTTATTTTTGTTGAATAACTCATAATTGATGGATTCTTTCAGTGGCATAATTGTGTTTTTAATTACTGGTCGGGCAAAACTATTAAATAAAAAATTGATAGAATAAAAGGAATAACTGTTTTATCTTAGTGACAAGAACTCGTACTAAACATATCCTAAATAGAAACCTATTATGTACTGCTATACAAATTTATTTTCATAGGTGTATTGAAGTACATACATCAAAAAAACGATACATTCAGCCGAGTTTTAATCCATACCAATGAAACGAAAGTTGAATATTTACGGATAGCCGATATATTGGAGATCGTTATAAAAGTGTAAATTTTCTGTACTTTTATCTAAATTGGGATGAAGAAATGAGTTCCTTATAAGCGATAATTCCTTATAACCGTGTTCGCTATAACCGTATGTTTTTATATGAAATAAAGAAGGGCAAAATTGGGGCCAAAATAATTTGTTCCTTATAACCGGATGTTCGCTATAACCGTGTTCGCTGTAAATGAAGTTTACTGTATTTATCACCATATATCTGCTGCATGACTAATGCGGTAGGGCTATTTTGCATATTGTGACCTGTTTTTTGGCAATTGATGTTTTTAATGTTGTTTCCATTCAGTTCAATAGAAATGATTTTATTATGTAGGTGATGCAAATAGCATTGAAAATAGCAAGACTGTCGAGAAACCTGGTGACTTTGTGGGTAAATACGCAACCCCATCTAGCTTATCAGTAAGTTAATTGTCTGTTTGTAAATAAATGTGGTAGACAATTTGTAATCATTACCAATTTATGTCATGTTTTTAAGCCATTACCAAGTATGTAATGTTTTAAGCCATTACCAATTCATATGTAATGTTTTAAGCCATTACCAATTCATGTCATTTTTAAGCCATTACCAATTCATTTCCTATTATTCTTATGTCCTATGTTTTTAATGTCATGTTTTTAGCCATTTCAATTCTTATTGTGTACTTAACTATTAATCAACAATGCTGATTTTATCCATTAAGTATTTATGTTTGATTTTAGCTTGTGACCTTTTATGTCCTATTAAAGCTACTAAGCAATTATATCTGACCTTGAAGAAGAAATAATGCTTATATTTCTTAAAATTTGTTTTTAATTGTTATATAAATATATATTAATTGAGAGTTTTAGAATAACCAAAGAAAGATTGGAATAAAGTATAAAGTTTGGATAGTTCTTTCAATGTATTTGAACTGAATAGGTATTTTACAATGGTCATGATTATTACCATTAACAATGATAAAAGTTCTTTTTTATACAGGAATATTACATAGAAACGACAAGTGGTGAAAAACCATTGATTATACTACATCTTCTTCATCATCTTAAGTATAGAAACATCCTTTGCTTCACAAATTCTGTAGAGTCAACACACAGGTAATTTACGACAATTTGTCAGGGCTTTAATTCAGGCAGGTTCATTTCCCATTACTGGGGCATTAAATTTTAGAGTGTTACAAAAACTAAACCGGATGACTTTTCCTTTGATATTTGATTTTGTGTATATACATTGCAAATTTTTATGTTCATTTAGTTAATGGAATGATTATCTTAGATATTTGATTCTGTATACAAAATGTATTTACATTTTGTAAATTTATATTGCAGATTATTTATGTTAATTTTAATGAATGGAATGTTTTTCTTAGATATTTAATTTATTTATATTTGTATATTTTGTCACAGGTTGTTTATGTTAATCAAGTTATATGGAGGGATTGAGGTCAAAGAATTCTCCTCTAGTATACATGTAGCACGCAGAAATGCTATATTGAAGAAATTTGAGGCTGGCAAAATTGATATGTGAGTTAAATATTGTAACATTATAATTTCTATTTGACTATTTGAAGTGAGTCTATTTTATAAGGTGTCAGCTTTTGGTCCATTAACTGCCTCAGATTTTGCATAAATTTTAATATTTCATATGTTTAAGGGTTTGTATGAAATTTCATAGCTTATTTAACCATTAAAGGAATTCTGTTGGAATGTCATGCATGAGTTTGTTATTATTGTGATAGATGCAATATGATGATAATTAAAGACATCTTACTTAATAATGAATATTTACAATATCTAAATTCTTAATATCTTACTTTGCAATATCTAAATTCGTTATATCTAAATTAACAATATTTTTATTCACAATAGCTAAATATACAATATCTAAAATCACAATATCTAAATTCGTTATATCTAAATTAACAATATCTTTATTCACAATATCTAAATTCATTATATCTAAATTAACAATATCTTTATTCACAATATCTAAATTAACAATATCTTTATTCACAATATCTAAATTCATTATATCTAAATTAACAATATCTTTATTCACAATAGCTAAATATACAATATCTAAAATCACAATATCTAATTTACAACATCTAAAGTCACAATTCCAAAATTCTCAATATCTAAATTTCCAATATCTATATTTGTCATATATCTAAATTTACATTATCTGAAATTTACAAATCTAAATTCACAATATATATTAAGCCACAATATCTTAATTTACAATATTCAAATTCACAATATTAAAATTCACAATACAGTCAAACGTGTATTAAGCGACTGCGCAAGGGAAACACCCAAAACTGTCGCTTAAGGAAATTGTCTCTTAAGACAGCATGATATAAAAGTTAAAATTTATAAATGACATCTTTCTTATGCGGTAGGAATGTTTTTCAACTTCATTTTTATATAAATGCTAAATAATTAGTACGCCCTGATAATCTAATTGGATGCAAATGTAAAAAATAACTTTCTGATATTAATTGACAAAACGAGGTGCAAAACAGTTTTGATCCATTACGTACATGTTTGACATTTTTTCCAGAATTTGTTAACTTCTCCGTTGTTTTTCCTTGTCTCCAACACAAAAACCATATTAGTGAAGATGTTTTCTGTTGTGCATTTTTTTCATTTGAAATAAAAAAAAAACTACATCTAATTGTTACGATAAATTTAATTGCTGATCAAGTTAAAGGTCAATTCAATGCAGTCTAAGTGTCAACAAGTGAAGCGTATACACCATCTCAGTAGGGGCTGAGCGTTGCATTGTTTATCCGATATTATTGGATAATACACATCACACGTATACTTAACTTCATTTGCATATGCTAAAACGGTTTGGGAAATAGAGTTTTTCACATGTTTATTGGTTGTGGTTTGATTGTTGACACTTGTGACATTACAAGGCGGCGTTTTCTAAAAATACAATTACTTGGCAGGTAAAAGTGGTTGTTTAATAAAAAGCTTTATCTTAATTAGGTGACTAATTAGCGGTCGCTGGTCACGTTGAGCAAAAGTCGCTTAATACATTAAAGATATAGAGAGAAAATGATCAGGGGGGATTTAAAGTGGTTGTTTAAGACAAAAGTCGCTTTATACACGTGGTCACATGGGCAAGTTAGACCGTATAATTATTCACAATATCTTAAATCACAATATCTAAATTTACAATATCTGAAGAAGATCAGAAATAGTCTTAAGAAGTTAACATTTTCTATCAATGCCATAAATTAATTCTATATTTTACCTGTTTATAGCCTTGTGTGCTCAGATGCCATGGCTAGAGGAATGGACATAACAACAGTGAAATATGTAATATCTTATGACCCACCCTCATACATACAGACTTACATACATCGTATTGGTAGGACAGCTAGAGCTGGCAAGGAAGGGTCTGCATTTACTCTATTACAAAAGAAAGAGGTATGGAAGTTTGAAATTTATTTTGAATGGTATTATTGTTTGCTATGAATTAAAAAAAATACAATGTACTTTGAATTATATTTGTCTATTGACTATTATCTATTTGCAAGATGCAGAGATTGTTTCTTAGGTACAGATATTGTTTGTTAGTGTGTACATGCATATCTAGGATACTTGTGTACATGCATATCTAGGATACTTGTGTACTTGCATATCTAGGATACATGCATACATGCATATCTAGGGTACTTGTGTACATGCATATCTAGGATACTTTGTGTACATGCATATCTAGGATACTTGTGTACATGCATATCTAGGATACTTGTGTTCATGCATATCTAGGATACTTGTGTACATGCATATCTAGGATACTTGTGTACATGCATATCTAGGATACTTGTGTTCATGCATATCTAGGATACATGTGTACATGCATATCTAGGATACATGTGTACATGCATATCTAGGATACTTGTGTTCATGCATATCTAGGGTACTTGTGTACATGCATATCTAGGATACTTGTGTACATGCATATCTAGGATACTTGTGTTCATGCATATCTAGGATACATGTGTACATGCATATCTAGGATACATGTGTACATGCATATCTAGGATACATGCGTACATGCATATCTAGAATACACGTGTACATGCATATCTAGAATACACGCGTACATGCATATCTAGAATACACGTGTACATGCATATCTAGGATACTTGTGTACATGCATATCTAGAATACATGTGTATATGTGTACATGCATATCTAGGATATATGTGTACATGCATATCTAGGATACATGTGTACATGCATATCTAGGATACATGTGTACATGCATATCTAGGATACTTGTGTTCATGCATATCTAGGATACTTGTGTACATGCATATCTAGGATACATGTGTACATGCATAATTAGGATACATGTGTACATGCATATCTAGGATATTTGTGTACATGCATTTCTAGCATACTTGTGTACATGCATTTCTAGGATACTTGTGTACATGCATATCTAGGATACATGTGTACATGCATAATTAGGATATGTGTGTACATGCATGTCTAAGATACTTCTGTATATGCATATCTAGAATACATGTGTACATGCATTTCTAGCATACTTGTGTACATGCATATCTAGAATACATGTGTACATGCATATCTAGGATACATGTGTACATGCATATCTAGAATACATGTGAACATGCATATCTAGAATACATTTGTACATGCATAACTAGGATACATGTGTACATGCATATCTAGGATATTTGTGTACATGCATTTCTAGCATACTTGTGTACATGCATATCTAGGATACTTGTGTACATGCATAATTAGGATACTTGTGTACATGCATATCTAGGATACTTGTGTACATGCATATCTAGAATAAATGTGTACATGCATATCTAGAAAACATGTTTACATGCATATCTAGGATAAATGTGTACATGCATATCTAGAATACATATGTACATGCATATCTAGGATATATTTGTATGTGTTACGGCTGTCCTATTGCATTTATAGTGGTTATTTAACGTTATGTTAAAGGGAGTATTGAAAAGGCACACATATATTTGTATCGTCTGTAATTATAAGAACGTATGTATTAATTAAATAAAGTTTCCTTTTTAAAGGAAAGGCTTGCACAGTTGTGCCTTCATCCCAACCCTTTAAAATTGTTTTTTTTTTTTTTGGTTTCAATTTATTATCACATTTTTTTTGAATTACGGTATTTGTATATCATAAAGGTTATTTAGTTGGTTTTTTTTTTTGGAAACCGAATATTTTTTGTAAAAACCGATTTGAATCTATTCTCTATTGTATAAACTAATAAAGAAAATGATCAATCGTAAAAATACTAACGTGATACTGAAGGAAAACAAGGGTGCACATTTCATTTCCCCTTTTTCGCAGCAAAATCATTCCTTTGCTTTATAGACAAGTAAATGCACTAAAATACTTCGTTACGTGGTACCAATTAATAAGCATGTATCAACTATGTTACACGATCAGCACGTGGCAAGTCTAATGATATGCATGGGCTATTTTTAGATTACCTCACCAATAAGTTGAATTGCGTTCAGTAGATCTAAATATAACTTGATCATAGTGATTTGGTAAGCAGGACCACCCTTTGAAGACGGAATACTACTACAGTCACCATTCTCTATTGTATAAAACAGACAAAAAACAATTATAAAAGAAACTAACTTTTGCGTCTTGAAAAACAATTGAAACGGAACAATTTTGTTTATAATTTATTACGGTTTAAACCGATAAATCAAGTAAAAATAGAAATCCTATTTATATAAACAAACTGGGATTACCGAAGTAACTAAAATAGCTTAGATTTCCGTAATATTACTTCGTCTGATTCCGCAGTATGACGGAATCGCCCAATTGTCACGATTGCAATCGAAACTACATCGGCTATTATCATTAATCCGAAGAATGATGGAAAAGGCCGAAAAGTTGCGATTGGCACGATTGCAGCTGGTTTCCCGTTCAATCATGCACCAACAGATGTAAGCAGGAAACCACCTAACCGGAACAAGTTTTCCAAATGAAACGGCTGCAAGCCAAAAATGGGTTAAAATTATATTGTAAAAAACTAGAAAAGACTTTCATTTTGTTTGTTTCAGTTTTTCCACTTTAAGAAGATGGTAAGAGAAGCCGGTAAAGGTACATTACGACCTTTGAAAATCTCTAAAGATGATGTTAAACCATTACTTCCAAAATATGAAGAAACATTAAAACAGCTCAGTGATACTATAAAGGTAGTAGTCTTTGGTGCCTATATAATATTGTTTATAGAAATTTATAAAAGTATATTCTGGAAATGATTTTAGCGATAGCATGGCTAACACATCAGATTTAGTAATTCAGGAATTGCTAGTTGTGAACTTAAACACTATCAAGAGCAAATAAAGAACCCCACATCAGATTTAGTAATTCAGGAACTGCTAGTTGTGTAAGTTCAAACCTGATCATGGGCAAGCCATTGCTTCCTTTATCAAAATAAATTCACACTCTTCAGTTGGTTCCAGGTGTGTCATTTGGCTTTATAGCTTTCTATACAATCAAGCTTAAATAAATTCTGTATAAACTTATGATAGCTCTGATTTTTTTGGTTTGCCTGCTTGTTCTACCAAACACCACATTCTTATTGTAGTTCATAGAGTCCTTATTTATTTGATGGACATTCGTTTTAAAGACACATTATGCCTCAGAAGCAGTAAATATTTTACTGTTTTTAGAAAGGGCAAACGAGTTTTATAACATTTTAAATTTTTTTTGAAAAATGTTTAAACAGTGACTTAAAGAAAGCAATG